GCAGAATTCGCCGGGTTTAGGATAAATCCCAGTTGTGCAGATGGGGCATGTTGTTACACTGCGTTACAATGTTTATTAGAACTATTCTGTTCTATACACTTTTATAAATTCTATTGAGAAATCATGAGAAAAGGGTGAATAAAGACTGAGAGTCAATGTTTAGAAATGAATAATAATTATTATGTTTTGAACTATGCTGTGTCTGCTTTTTGTTGTTTAACTAAAAAAATAATAATTATTAAACAATGCCAATATTTTATATGAAAAACTAAATGATTTTATTTTATGGAGAAACTATTTTAGCTTGTCTAGCTTGTATATATATTTTTATTAGATCAGATAACATTTTAATCTGTCATATTTGCCCTATGGGGCTTGTTGTCACATTTCACTTCCACTATTTCAGGGTAAATCAAGAAAAAAGTATACGCTGCATTAATGAAACAAAACCACATAGCTAATTGTACTAGACATGTGGGAAATTAATAGATGGAAAAAATAATACTCTGAACCCTAAGTAGCAGGTTTACACAAACTGAGAAAGTCAAAAAGCATTAGGTTGTGCCCTGCTCTGCCCTACTTGAAGTTTACTAGTTTAATCATTCTTTCTTCATTGTTCGATTGAACTTTTTGTCCTGTTTAAAGCTAGGGAGTTAGCTTGTCTTAAACAAGCTAACTTTTAGTTTAGCTAGTTTGGTTGAGAAGTTAGATTGGTTATGTTGGTTGTTCTGCTTGATTTTGTAAGACAATTTTCTATTGTGAAACATAATGTGGTTGGATTATTATGAAACAATTCTGGGGCTGAAGTCAGGCTGGTTTCATGCTCATTCACCACCATCTGCTTTTTATTTTGCATTCCTTCTTTCAGACCATCAGGACAAACTAATTTTGTCAATACTCAACAAAATATGGGGAAAAATGCAGTTTATCATGCTTTTTGTCTAACCAGGAAGTTTATTTTTGAAATGCTTTTATTTTGTACAAAGTCACTCATGTGTTCCTGGCCTACAAAAAAAAAAAAAAAAGAAAGAAGAAAAAGAAAAGGCTTAGAAATCTATTATGCTATTGTCACCATTTTTAAAGCTAAGTCTGTAAGTTTTAGTCTAATGTGACAGTTTCAGAAAAAAGAAAATCATCTGCGGGTCAAAATGACCTGAACACAACATCAGGAAAAGGGGGTTTGAAAAGAGGTTTGATGATGTATTGACTTACATTTTGTACCAAAAAAGTTACAGTGTACCTTTAAAGGGATCGGCCTACTACACTTTTTTTTGGAAATAGGCTCATTTTTACAACTCCCCCAGAGTTAAACAGTCGAGTTTTGCCGTTTTCAAATCCATTCAGCCGATTTTCTGATTTTTAGAAGAATATCAGTTTCTGGTCCCATTGACTTCCACAGTATATTTTTTTCCTACTATGGAAGTCAATGAGAACAGAAACTGTCTGGTTACTGATATTCTTCTAAAAATCAGAAAATCGGCTGAATGGATTTAAAAATGATAAAACCCAACAGCTTAACTCTGGGGAAGTTGTAAAATACGCCATTTCCAAAAAAAGTGGAGTATCCCTTTAAATGCTTTATAATGTCAATAAAAAGAGAACATTCAGGTACGTAGTGCTGAATTCATTTATTTGACTCGAACAGCTTTTGACATTAGTATATCACTCCATGAAATTGCATCGATGAGCACGTGAAATAATTACAGCTACAGGAACTACAAACTCTCTGGTCCTTCATTGAGACATAAAAAAACCCCTCAATCTGCCATCTGAACAAGTTGAAGGAGAAGCAAACATATGAGATATGAGATGTTGAACTGATCTGCATTACTACATCAACTATTAATGTATACTTTATACAAGCATGAGAGCAGGCTGATCATGACATGAGCATCAGACTGTGTGTGAACTGGCTGTTGTCATGTGAATGTCATTGTTTTTTTCTACAAACCATTTAGAACTCAGAGCTGAGGAAAGACTGAAGCAGGGCTGTTGGATCAGTGTGACGATTTTTTAAGATGTGCAAATTAATGTATAGAGAAATTCATTAGAAAATGAATATTATGGGTTTATACTTCACAAATTTAAATAAAGCAAATGAACAGAATATGAAACTTGACAGAGAAACAACGTTTACATCGACATGTCGTCCACTCAGAGGTAAGGCTTCATCTAAAATATGACAGTAAATAGAACCATGAACAAACACGTCAACATTCAGTAATTGTTTACATTTTCATTTGTTTGTGTTCCAGTACAATTTGATAACTTTCCATTTGAAGCGATATGCATTTTTCTTAAATTGCATTTCTAAATCTTCCACATTTTTATTTGTGTTCCATAAGAACTGAACAAATAACAATAATAATAAAAAAAAGCTCAAAAACGTCACATACACACAATGGTCCCATGATCATAAAACTCCTGAATGATTCTGTGCACTGATGCTGATGCTGAACTTGATACAATGCAATTTTTGTTTTGTTTTCCAGTAAAAGAATAAACAATTTCCAATAATAATAATAATAATAATAATAATAATAATAATAACATATATATATATATATATATATATATATATATATAAACTAAATTAATTTAAGGATCAAAAACATCTTTATTTTCAGAGAATATATGTTGAACTGTTTCTTTTTCATACCCCAAAAGCATTTTTACTAAATTTTGACAAATGCTATATACTGTATATATATATATATATATATATATATATATATATATATATATATATAGTATATATAATTTGCCAATGAGGAATGAAAAATACATTTTATTCATTATATATATATATATATATATATATATATAAATCTCACTGGAAAACTTTGTTAAAACAAAAATACTTGTTTACGGAAATGAGCTTTGCACTGTAATGTATGCATGCACGCAAGCAAAAACACACACACACACACACACTACAATAAGGCATAGCATGATAAAATCCCAGCGCACTACAGTGAAATGACATCAGATTCTCTTTTTAGGTCCAAAGCTGTGTGTTAATGGCCAATAACACACTGAACTAGTGTGGAAGATTTCAAAGCTAAAACCCATGTAGGGCAGAGAAGTAACAAAGTATCAACATGAACCATTTTCTGACCCCAAAACATTGAAATAATGTAATGTAATATAATATTATTGTGTGTGTGTGTGTGTGTCAGTGATGGAAAAGTGTACCATACTTCAATTTCAGGAGTTACAGATCAAAACAAACAGCTTTTCAAGAAAAGCTGCCTGACACATTCAAGATAATACTGATATCCTGCCAGACATGAACACAAATGACAAACAAGCAAAACAAAACAACTAAAAAAATAATAAGAAAAATAACAGCTGCTTCTAACTTAAAAAAAAAAGCATAATACTGAAATAAATACCAGCAGGTTTTTGATAAACATCTTCATGTCTTAAGAGTCGGTAGTTTGGGATTTCCTTAGTTTCTGTAAACGATATCCAGTGTGTTTTAGGGCATACAAGACGCCTTAGTGAATCCCATGAAAAATATCATCACGTTCTTATTTCACACCAAAAAAAAAAAGCCCAAAGAAAAACATATTGTACATTACTGTATATATATACCGTAATATACAATATACTGCCTATTTAAGCTTATTTATCCAGCACATTCTCATTACTGTACTGTAAAATAATAAATAACGATATTCATATTGTAAAATACGCAAGTATAGGTCATGATCATGTACTGAATTTATGCTGATTTTAGTCAAATATACTTGTTGAGATCAGATGATTTTTATCGCATTGCTACAATGTATGCGAGTTTATATATATATATATATATATATATATATATATATATATATAATGAACTTGCATACATTCTATACACTATATATAGTGGGGCTTTTGGGGGGAGATATGCTGGTCAAAAAAAAATCCAACCATACTGTTCCTAAAACTGGCTCCTAAAATTTTATGTGCAAATCTTTAGTCATTTGTTTAATTTGATATTTCACCGGGACATTTCTTCATGAGATTCACCCACGAATAGAACGGTGGAGGGCCCAAACCATCTGTAACCTTATTAAACCTCATTTAGGAGTCTAGATCCCACCTGAACTAACACTACCTCTGACAGAAAACCTGTAAAACAAGGACCTCAGGCTCTTTATATGTGCGATGCCGACAGAGCAGGTCAGTATGATGCGAACCCAAACAATCCCATCATGCACTGGGTCTGGACTGTACCATCTCTTTGGAAATGATTCCTGAAGATCAGAGATGCTCTTGAGGAAGAGATCAGGATGGATTCTAAGTTTTCTTTTCACCAGTTTTCACCAGACATGACTACCTATTAGCTAATCACCACACGCTACTAACCAATGATAATCTACACTAATGAAGTCAGCTGAGCTCCAAGTCAATAGGTTATTTATGTGATATGGATGAGAGCAGAGGACTACAGTATGTTCCACAATTGGATATCCAGGTTAGCTAGCATCTGAGAGAAAACAAACCAAAAGTAAACCTGATAGGGTTTAAAGCAATAAATAAAATATCCTCGCATCATACACTTTCATAGATATTTATATATGTATAAGATTATACAGCCCCGGGAAACATTTTCTGGTTGTGACAGTGGTCTGAAAAGGCATTAGTGTTAGAATTAGTTATTTTGAGCTTCATTCTTACTTTCGTAATGTTCAATAAGCGAAACATCTCTGAAATATTCCAGGTGAATCTCACAAAAAATATATATATTCAGGTTCCACAATCAAATGAAGTCAATTTTAAAAACATTTTGTATTTTGTTTTAAATTTAAACAATGTAAAAAAACATTGTTGTTGTATTGTGACTGTCGTCATGAATATTTCTGGCCATATTCTCCTTACTGTAATGTTTGTGGACATTTCAGTTTTGAGCATTTCTGTTATTCACACTATCGTCAATGTTTCTCATTAATAATATTATATATTTTTTACTGCATTCCAGTCAGCTCAAGTTATTTATTTGATTCAGCATATGCCAGCAAATACTGTACAATGTGAATAATATTATTTGTTTTCGCAATAAGATTTTTTTTTTTTTTTTTGCAATAAAGCAATACAAAATTGTGAGGGAAAAAGCTTAATTATCATTAAAATAGCATCACAATGTCCAAAAACTTTATGGTATAAAGATGGGCTTAATTTTCTTTAATTAAAACAGGTTTTTGCAAGATTCACCCTTTTAATGAATAAACAAAAGTGATGAAGAAGAGCAAAAAGAGGGATTGGTGACATGGTCTAAATTGCATTCTCTTTAATTATGTGGCTTATTTACCTATAACAATTGATTATTTATTTAAATATTTTGGCTCCCTGTTCCTGCCGTGTGATTGGCTGAGGTGATTGACAGGTCTACACGCGAGTGAGGAAGGACAGATTGAGGCTGCCGGGGATCTGAATGGTTTCAAGGGCCAGAGAGGAGGGGTTAAAGGGGAAGGTTACGGGGTAGATGATTTTGGTGTCCATCAGCAGCTGAGGCGACTCCTTCCGATCCCGTAAACGCGTCTGTCAGAGGAAACACACAAGCATTCAAAATCAATAAAATTATATAATAACTTAAAGAGCACAAGGTGAGGTAGAATTTTTGAAACATACCTGTATTGTTCTTATGAACAAAACTGACACACGCTCTTCAAATGCATTGACAGGCGTGTACAAGTTCAGCACCTTCACGATCTGGATAGAAAATAAGAAATGATGAGGTTTGTGTGTGTGTCAGGTTGTGGTAAGCAAAAAACATACGAAAAAAAATTGATGAGCAGTTGCATGACCAAACAAACCCAAAAGTAGGCCTCCAAAAAAGAAAAGACAAAAGATTGTTTCGGTTAGTCAACCATGTAAAACCAAAAAAAAATAAATAAATAAATATTTGAAAACTACGTAGCCCCTAAACAAAGGAACATGTCGATGGAGAAAAATATGTGATGATTCAGTATAATCTGTGTTATTCTGAAAAAAATAAATAAATAAAAAAGTAGTCCCCCATTTCAGAAACATTACCACAGTAAAGCAAGAAAAAATAAATAAATACAAATTATGCAATACAAGCATAAATATTACACTGCAAAAAAAAAAAAAAAAAAAAAAATGCTTTTCTTGTTTCCAGTCGAAATATCTAAAAATTCTTAAATCAAGAAGCATTTACCAGATAAGTAAAATGACAAGAAATTATATCTTGTTTTCTGAAATAAATAAATAAATAATAAGTTTTTGCTTAAAAACAAGCTAAATTATGTACCAGCGGGATAAGAAAAAAAAATTCAAAAGGAAAACAAGGAAATATTATCTTAAAATGGAAAATAAGATTCATTTTCTTACCCCCTTGGCAGATCATTTCGATTGTATTAAGCAAAAACCCAATTAATTTTGTTTATTTAAAATCAGAAAACAAGATAGAATTTCTTATGTAATTTTACTTATCTAGTACATGTTTCTTGATTTAAGAATTTGTAGATATTTGGCCTGGAAACAATGGGCTCTATGCACGGCGTTATTTCCGGTGAAGCATTGGGGATGCTCGATAACTTCCGCCGATCATAGAGTCCAATGCAATACCGAGAATGTATATTGAATTTTATACTCCATGGTTATACTAATGAAACGTTAGTCACAAAAACAGATAAAACAGACACCCCTCGTTGTGTTTATGCTTCTTTTTAAAATTATATTAAATAAACATAACTATATATAAAATTACATCTAAACGTATGTACGTTTCGTTTCAAAGACGGGAGGACAGTAAATATTGAAGACTCTGCCATAATCCCGTTTTCTCCGGTTTTCCTCCGCTTTAATCTACACAACCGGAAATGGACGAGCATCCTTACGTCAAATGCGGAACTTATGCGTGCATATAGCCCATAAGAAAAGCTTTTTTTGCAATGTAGTGGAATTAATTTTGATACATCATATTGAATTTAAATAAACAAACAAACAAAACAAATAAATACTGTTTTATCTATTTTTTAAAAAAACAAAATATTGCCTCAAGGAATATTACAATGTTTTGCACGTTGGGAACAGCTGCTATAAAAATGTGATCCTTGATTTTTATTCTTTTTAATGATTGGTGAGTGTCTAAGTGGGTCGTTTTGTTTTGTTAGCCTGAAAAGCTATGCTATAAATGGACTTTTTCAAATAACTAATATTGGCTACATCAAGACAATATGAAATGTAAAAGAAACGGAATGATCAGGGAAAGGAATCATAATGTACAGAAAGAGACGGTCTGGAGTGTGTTACCTGTGCTGTAGAGAGAGCGTTACACATGGAGCAGATTGCCTCGGCATCCTCATCCGTTTTCTTCTTCACCTGCAGTAGTTGAGCGGCCTGAATCAGCGGCTCCAGCGTCTCTTTTGCGCCGCATGTCATGAGATTCTTATCTCTCAGCCACTCCTCCAGCTGACTCACGTTATACCTGAACACATAGCACACATTAACCCTTGGACCAGAGACTATATTGCTGGAAATAAATTCAAATATGGCATAATCTTGCCTATGCTACTTCTATATTTAATGTAATCTACACCTCCGCTTAAAAACTTGTGGTCGGTAAAAGTTTTAATGTTTATGAAAGTTATGTTTATACTCATCAGGCTATGAAATACTATGATTTAAAATAACTTTTTATTTAATTATTCCCTGTGTTGTCACTGTTAAATCATTCCAATATGTTGATTTGGTGCTCTACAAACATGTATTATTATTATCATCATCACTACTGGGAACAGCTTAATATTTTTGAGAAAACCATGATCGGGATCTTCGCCAAATAGAAAGTAAAAAAAAAAAAAAAAAAAAGCATTTTTGAGAAGTCTTTCCAGTCACTTTTGATCTACACATCCTTATAGATAAAAGTATTAATTTCTTAATATATATATATATATATATATATATATATATGTATATACACTCACCGGCCACTTTATTAGGTACACCTGTCCAACTGCTCGTTAACACTTAATTTCTAAGCAGCCAATCACATGGCGGCAACTCAGTGCATTTAGGCATGTAGACATGGTCAAGACAATCTCCTGCAGTTCAAACCGAGCATCAGTATGGGGAAGAAAGGTGATTTGAGTGACTTTGAACGTGGCATGATTGTTGGTGCCAGAAGGGCTGGTCTGAGTATTTCAGAAACTGCTAATCTACTGGGATTTTCACGCACAACCATCTCTAGGGTTTACAGAGAATGGTCCGAAAAAGAAAAAACATCCAGTGAGCGGCAGTTCTGTGGGCGGAAATGCCTTGTTGATGCCAGAGGTCAGAGGAGAATGGCCAGACTGGTTCGAGCTGATTGAAGGGCAACAGTGACTCAAATAACCACCCGTTACAACCAAGGTGGGCAGAAGAGCATCTCTGAACGCACAGTACGTCGAACTTTGAGGCAGATGGGCTACAGCAGCAGAAGACCACACCGGGTGCCACTCCTTTCAGCTAAGAACAGGAAACTGAGGCTACAATTTGCACAAGCTCATCGAAATTGGACAATAGAAGATTGGAAAAACGTTGCCTGGTCTGATGAGTCTCGATTTCTGCTGCGACATTCGGATGGTAGGGTCAGAATTTGGCGTCTACATGAAAGCATGGATCCATCCTGCCTTGTATCAACGGTTCAGGCTGGTGGTGGTGGTGTCATGGTGTGGGGAATATTTTCTTGGCACTCTTTGGGCCCCTTGGTACCAATTGAGCATCGTTGCAACGCCACAGCCTACCTGAGTATTGTTGCTGACCATGTCCATCCCTTTATGACCACAATGTACCCAACTTCTGATGGCTACTTTCAGCAGGATAATGCGCCATGTCATAAAGCTGGAATCATCTCAGACTGGTTTCTTGAACATGACAATGAGTTCGCTGTACTCAAATGGCCTCCACAGTCACCAGATCTCAATCCAATAGAGCATCTTTGGGATGTGGTGGAACGGGAGATTCGCATCATGGATGTGCAGCCGACAAATCTGCGGCAACTGTGTGATGCCATCATGTCAGTGTGGACCAAACTCCCTGAGGAATGCTTCCAGCACCTTGTTGAATCTATGCCACGAAGAATTGAGGCATTTCTGAAGGCAAAAGGGGGTCCAACCCATTACTAGCATGGGGTACCTAATAAAGTGGCCGGTGAGTGTATTAGGGCTGTGCAAAAATTAATTGCGATTAATGGCATCCAAAATCAAAGTCTGTGTTTACATAATATATTTGTGTGTGCTGTATATAATTATTTTGTATATTTAAATACCTATGCATGCATGTATAGGTATTTATATATACAATTTAAGAATTATTTGCACTTAAATTGTGTATATATATATATATATATATATATATAAATAAATAATCTATATTATATAAATATTTTAGATATGAATAACACATTTTCTTAAACATATACATGCATGTGTGTGTATTTATATATACAATATAATTATATACAGCACACACAAATATATTATGTAAACACAGACTTTTATTTTGGATGCCATTAATCCCAATTAATTTTTGCACAGCCCTAATATATATATATATATATATATATATATATATATAGTATTGTAAATCTCATGTGCATACTGATTGATAATATTGATATATTATAATATTAAAAAAATATCGATATTATGGATGTCAATGGTGTCCATCAACTGTTTGGTTAACAACATTCTTTAAAATATCTTCTTTTGTGTTCAGCACGAGACAGAAATTCACACAGGTTTGGATCAACTTGAGGGCAAGTAAGTGACAGAATTTTCATTTTTGGGTGAACCATCCCTTTACCTTTTCATTTGTGACTTAAATTGAACGATTATTATAACATTTCTAAATAAAGCAGCATGTTCTAAGGCCTTATTTTGCATGATGGTTTCAAGAATTATGACGAATCATCGGTATTGATTAATTACTAATAATTCCAAGGCTATTTGGCCACTGTACGTTAATCTGTCCTGATTATACATTTGCACTGTTCCGCAAACATCTAGAAGTCATAAGTCCGCACCTGATCTGCATGCCCTTGCTCCAGGAGCACATGTCTTTACGCAGCAGCAGGTTGTTGAGAGTAACCGCGCCGATGATGTAGAACTGCTGCTTGACCACCTGTTTGATGAGCTCCGGGTCGGTCCCGTGCTGACACATGATGGAGTGGAAGGTATTGAGCTGGCGGATGATGGAGTCCAACGTGTACGTGCCCTCGTCGGCGATACTCGATGTCCTCTTACGGAGACCCGTGGGCTTCACGCCGGAAACGCCCTGGATGGTTTCATGTTCCAGCATGCCAGAGACTGGCGAGAGCAACAACAGACAGGGGGATGAATACAGAGGGAGAGAGAAAGAGCGATGCAGATCGAAAGAAAGACACCCAGAGGTCACGTGCTCACCGATCATGGGCTGCAGGATGTTCTCCATAGACTTGATGAGCTGTTGGTAGATCTGAATGGCCAGATCGCTCAAAACTTGCCGGTACTCAGCCAGGTCAAAGTTGGAGAGACAGTGATCGTTCTGTTTGGGGGAGTTATGCTTCATGAATTGCTGGAGAAAGAAGGAGAAGAAAGTGTTGATTCTGTTTAAGCAACAAGAAACTGTGGCCACATATACACTGCAGAGACAAAACACACTATTCCCACACCTTTTGAACAATGGATTTATATTATTTTTCCAAGACATGTCTGTTTTGTGATTAAACAGCAGTCTTTCTGGTTAACAAATGATGTGCGCTTAAAGAAAATAATGTCTATTTTAGGACCATTGTGATTTTTTTTTCTCATTAACGTAATGCACACTGTTTATGCAGGTAAATTTAATATTTTTAAAGTCCTTTTTAAGACCAAGTAAAGAAAATTGAAGGGAACACAATGATTCAATGTTCTTTAAATGTAAGGTACTAGGGAGAAACACAATGAGCTGTATAAGCAACGTCAGAGTTTGACAATACAACTTCCAATGTATATCCATTAGTTTTTAATTCATTTTACAAAAAAAAAAAAAAAGTAGCTTGAATCGCTCTGATTATAACCACTAGAATACGGACATAACTTTTACTGTATCTTCTGATCGCACTGCAAAAAAGTGATGTTTTTCCTCAGTGTTTTTGGCTTGTTTTCCAGTGAAAACTGTGTAAATGATTCTTAAATCAAGATGCAATAACTGGAAAATTATATAAAATATGAAAGTGAGTATATAAAATATAACAAAGTGAGTTTATGATAAAAAAAAACAAACAAAAAAAACAAAGTGAAGCGATAACTCTTTGACAGATATTTTTTCTTCGCATAAACTCAATTTTGTTTCATTTTTCAATAATTAATTTTACATGTATGTCAAATAAATGTCTTTATTTTATAATGTTTAAATAGATTTAAAAGATATCTTTTTTTTTCAAGGCTTCAACATTTAATGCCATGGCTTTATGAATTTAAGACTTTCTGCTCGGATTTAATATTTTTTGGATACTTTTTTAATACCCGCAGAAACCCTGTTATTATGTACTTATCTTTGATCATTATCATTTAATGCTCATGTAATACATGATTGGTACCTTTTTAATACATGATTTGTGCCTTTTAATTAATATGTTATAAATAAGAATATATATATATATATTAAAGCGTTCAGAGTTCCCAGAAAAGGGCTTCAAGGGCAAAAAACATCAATACATTCACATTTCTGTAGTAAATGTAAAATATACATACACATATATATGTATACTGTATATATATAGCTTTTTTATAATATATATATATATATATTATAAAAATATATTTTTTATAATATATATATATATAGCTTATTTTATAATATATTTTTATAATATATATAATATGAAGAGTTCAGATGCAAAAGCCTCTAAATGCCATTTGAAATTTTCTTCAAGAATGTTAATTTTTATCAAGCTTGTATATTTAAGTTCAGTAATTTCACTTAAATGGCAATGAAGATTACCTATGAATTGCCATTTAAGTGAAATTACTGAATTTAAATATACAAGCTTGATAAAAATGATTATTCTAGAAGAAATGGCATTTAGAGGCTTTTGCATCTGAACTCTTCATATATACTTGTGTTAGTTTGCTAAAAAGAAATAGCTAACAAGAAATGGGATAAATTCTTGGTCTCCATGTTTCTTGTTTACAGCCAGGGTTGCTAAACTATTTACATGGTTCACTGTCAATAGAGTTCTATCTACAGTTTGAGCGTGACGATAAGTATGATATCTATTTACTTGTGCAAATAACTGCGTGAGCAGGCCAGAGCGAGACAGGAAGTTCATGTGTGTCTGAGTGTGATCTCACCTCATCGCCACTGTACTGTTTCAGGCAGTGCAGGAAACGACACGTGTTGGACAACCAGAAGGAAACCGTCTCAAAGTCATCACCTCGTTTCTGTAGAAAAAGCAAAACAGTAATAGTTTGCAGTGATAAAGGAAAACAAAGTTATTCTGCCTTTTTAATAGTATTGTCAAAAAATGTGAAAGGTGTGAGAGAGTGAGTGTGTTGAGACCTTGAGGATCTTCTTGATGCTGTTAATGACAGAGGTGAGTAGAGATCGGACTTTCTGGTCATCATTAACGTAGTCGGCATGGCGCAGACACATGAAGAGGATGTATGCCGGCAGTCCTGGTATCAGATTCACTGCCACACCACGAGGCTTTAGCTCTGATGACAAAAATCACACATGCACAGATCAGAGTTTAATAGAGCATTTTCATTTTTTTATTATTATTATTTTTTTCCATTTCATTTCATTAAGGCTATTTTTATTAAGGCCTTAATCCAATTTTCTTAAAAGAGTGTACCTTGGAATGGAAATCATGTAAGCTAGAATAAGACTTAATCTAAGTTTAGATCTGAATACCGACAGAGGAAAAAAAAACTAATAATAATAAAAAAAATAATAATAATAATAAAATAAATCAATTAATTAAAAGATCTAATGGAGGAAATTGTATTTAAATATTAATTTAATTTGTTCAAAAATGTATTTTTTTTAATAGTAATATCAATTATTTAATAGATGTATTGGTAACCTTATTTTGATGGTCCACTTCAAAGTAATTCAGTAACTTTGCATGTACATGTCAACTAACTCTCATTAGAGTATTAGTAGTCTCTGCATGAATAAATGTATAAGTGAAAAACATTTATTTGTGAATAAAAGCCTAAATTTAATCTATTCAAAAATTCATAAAGAGATCGTAAAACTAATCCATATGAATGAAGCGTCAAAGTGATAGCTGTGTACTGTAACTGTCAAAGGAGAGCATAGAACAGGTGATTTTTGAGGTACTATCCCTTTAATAGGAAAAAAAACTGCTAATGCGTTATTTTCAATGTCCCGCAATAGACATTCTACTGGCTAGAAGTAACTTTCCAACTACATTTCAACTTATTCTTCAAACCTGACACTTAACATCAAAAAATCTACTACAGTCTACAACTACTGTAATGAGAGTTAACTGACATGTAGTCAAACTGTTACTTAGTAGAATATCTAAAGTGGGCCATTGAAATAAAGCAGTATTTTTGCAGTTGTGGGTTTATGTGCTAGATTTACTAACGGCCAGCGCAAACCCTGTTTTAGCGTTAAAAAAACTACTTTCAAAATTGACCAAAGTGGTGCAGAGAGATATTAGTGATGAAAAGGAGTGGGCTGTTATTTTTGTGATTAACCTTATGCATATGCTTTTGTAGGAGTTTCCCATTCAGAAAAAAAAAAAATATATGGGAGGAGAGCATTTACAAAAAAAAAACATAAAGTGTGATTTACAAAGGTTAGTGGTAGTCAATTTACTGGTATTAAAAAATCTGGCCCTAAGTGTCTTACCAAGTATGAGATTTTTGACCAATTTGAGTTCATCCTCTTTCTTGTATTCCAGCATTCCCTGGAAATCTTTCTCCCTGCGTGGAATGTTCACTGGATGAACGGGCTCATCGGTCGTCTGTCCCGGAGACACATCCATCTGCCCACCTACAAAACACAGAAAACATCCACACACAAACATGAAGGATCAGATTTAACCCTTAGGGGTCGGCCGTCGCGATAGCCTCGCTTTTTTTCTTATCAGAGCAAAAGAGACTCAAATAAGATTTTTTGTCATACATATAAGTGTTATGTATGATTCAAAACTGTTAAATCTCTACTTTTATTTGTGTACACTCATAATAAAAAACAAAATGTTCTGATTTTTGTAAAATGTGTGAGTTCACCTTGGATTTACGTCAGAAGAAGAACACGATTTGAAGATACGAATTTTAAGGTAAGAAATTTAATCTCACTAACGGCTGGCAACATTTCAATGTTAAAGGGATACTCCACCGTTTTTTTCATATTAAACTATGTTATTCCCTTAAAGGGACACTCCACTTTTTTTTTGGAAATAGGCTCATTTGTTAAACAGTTGTGTTTTACCGTTTTCGAATCAATTCAGCCGATTTTCTGATATTTAGAAGAATATCAGTAACCAGACCGTTTCTGGTCTCATTGACTTCCATAGTAGGAAAAAAATATACTATGGAAGTCAATGAGACCAGAAACTGTCTGGTTACTGATATTCTTCTAAATATCAAAAAAATCGGCTGAATTGATTCGAAAATAGTAAAACTCAACTGTTTAACTCTGGGGGACTTGTGAAAATGAGCCTATTTCCAAAAAAAGTGGAGTATCCCTTTAAATAAGACCAGTTGATACATACCTCTTTCGTCTCAGTGCGTACACTCAATCACTCTAGCGCGCGAGACAAAAGAGTCGACAAAAGTGCTCCCAAGCACTTACTGTGGTATTCCGCCATACATTATAATAGTTATACAATTTTTACATGCTTAGAAAAGTGCAACGTTTTATTTTGCGCCACTATTCTTGATCGAGTAGCACTACTTGTGTAACTGTATTTAAACAGGGAAACGTGGAGGTGTTTGGTCGCTTCTCTGCTTGGATCCTAATGGATGAACTGGACTAAGCTAAGTGCTAACAAAGTTATGTCGTAAGACAGAGAGGTATACATCAACTCGTCTTAGTTAAGGGAATAACATAGTTTAATATGAAAAAACGGTGGAGTATTCCTTTAAATAAATATGACGCTATCCTATTAATTAATTTATATACTATTAATATAGTATAATTAAAGATAAGAGCTGACAGATGATTTCTGAACAGGGGCTCAAAACACAGCCTGTGACACATACCTTCCAGGTCATTGATCTTCTTTGCAAAGACTTTGAGCTGTTTCTTCAGCTTGCGGACAGTCTTATCCTGTTTCTCCAGCTGCTCCATGAGATCCTGTCACCAGAGAGACAAGACATCATCATCATCATCATCATCATCAGACAATTGTAGCAGGTTATGGCAACTGAGAGTCTCTTTGGCAGCAGAGTGAAAAATAGGGTTTATTTTAGTGAATCGGGACAAAGCAGGTCAAACGAGCATCTTTCAGTTCTGCAACAATCTGAAGATATCAGCTTTCATCTGTCCATGCAACTCATTATACAGAGAGAAAAATAGAAACAAAGATGGGTGAATCTCACAAATAAATGTCACTTTTCACCCCATTCAAAAAAGCGGAAAAAATAAAAAAAGAATCATTTTGCTTAGTGAAAAAAAAGCATATTTTGCTAAAAAATATAATTAAATTTTTTATTATGTGGTGTCATTTTTGCGAGATTCACTTACAAGAGAGAAACTTTCAAATATATTATATATTAAAAAGTGTGTTGATTCACACTGCTGTGGGTTAAACACACAGTTAGAGTTCAACGCAGCTCAGATTCTGTGCAACACACGCTAGTTTCAGTTAGTGTTCAGATACATGCACACACACACACACAGTCCTACATACAACCATCCTGCGTAACATGCTGATTCGGTAGGCTTTATACTCCTTTGGATCATCAGAATGAAGCTCCTGTGAATGAAACATCTCCACATCAGATGAGCCCTTAAACACCTGATGCAGGTGCACAGAACAGCACTGAAACTAAAATCACACTCCACCGTTTCATGAGTGAGTAAATCTGAAATCATTTAGAATCACACGAAACAAAAGATTGAGCAGCAGGATATCTGAACTGTCTTTTCAATGCAAATACTGTACAACGTTTGAACACTGATCTATATAATGATAATGTCATTCTATATAGATCAGTGCGTTTGATACTTTTGATATTCATCTGGACATGACCCAAAAATTATGTGTTTAGAGCCTATTGTCCAATATATCTGACAAATATGTACACCATAGCTACCATTTGGGAAAAATTAATAATTTAATAATTCATGGCTAATAATTAGTCAATGTTTTGTACATTGGCAATTCTCCAAAATATATAATTCATAATTATAAACATAATTTTAACATAATATTATAAACATAATAATATAGTTCTTACTATTAAAACAGGACAACACAGTCAACAATTCTGCTATCTGGTGGCAGGTGATTATGGGGAGATTCTTATTCTATAATAACAATAATAATACAAAAAAGGATTCTGTGATCTTGCAATTGCTATAACAAATAGCAAATTCAATCGTTCACTGAATTATTTGCAGCAGCTTGCATTTTTGTCTCATTTTTTAAAACAAATTCCCACAAACATGTTAACCTGACAGGGATGCAATGGGCTTTATGCACAGCTGCACTACTTCCTGAACTTAAGCCAGCTCCTTGTTTCCTGTCTGCCATTATTGGCCAAATTGATTAATTCAGGTGTGTCTGATGATTGTTGCCATGACTACTGAGGTCAGGCACACCTGAATTAATCAATTTGGCCAATAATTGCAAACAGGAAACAAGGAGCTGGCTTAAGTTCAGGAAGTAGCCCATTGTGGCTTTAACGATTTAAACGATTCCAGACGATGAATAAGGGTCTTATCAAGCGAAAAGATTGCTCATTTAAAAAAAAAAGAATAAATAACAAAGTTTAAGTTTTATAAGCTCAAATGTTCTGTGATGCGCGTTCGTGACTCTCCTGTTCAATCTCGTTTATCAAAATGAACAAATCTTTTTTCGTGGCATTTGGTTCATTCAACATTAATGAGTTGACTCTGGAAAAGATTCGTTCATTTTAATGGACGAGTTTGAATAGGAGAGTCAAGCATCAGAGAAGAGCAAGGCAACCATTTGAGCTTATAAAACTTGTATTTTTTCTTTTAAATGAGCGATCGTTTCGCTTCATAAGACCCTTATTCATCGTCTGAAATCATTTAAAGCCCTTTGAACAGTTTGCAGTTTGCACTGAAACTGTCTTTTGGACCTTGAACTGTTTGGTTCCCATTGAAGTCCATTATATGGAGAAAAATCCTACAATGTTTTCATCAAAAACCTTCATTTCTTTTCGACTGAAGAAAGAATGACATGGATATCTTGGATGACATGGGGGTGAGTAAATTATCAGCAAAAGTTTTTCTAAAAGTGAACTACTCCTTTAAGGGCCAAGAACAAGTCTTACAGGCCGCATATCTTGAATGTGACATCATTAATAAAACCAACTGGGATTAATATTAGCATATTACTATACTGAAAAATAGGTTATAACACTTAAACCAATTGTCTACTACTATACTCTACTATCTTTCTACTAATTAACTTACATTTATGGAGCTGTTGAGAGACGACAATATGTTTTTTTTTTCTATTATTATTTGTTCAATAGTAGAAAAAACAAGAAGTGGATAGTGTGTCTGGCTGGAGGTGGAGAAGCACTGGTATAGGGAAATGTCAGGATAGTGTCTGTACTGACCAGGTTCTCGTTGGTGAGTCGTGTGATCTCGTGTTGCAGACTGGCTTCGATTCGAGCCTCTGGAGGAAGCTGTAGATTTTGAGCTAAAAGCTGCTGCTGACGGTTATTGTCCTCTTTAACACTCTGCAGCTCTCCACGCAAAACCTCCACCTCATTTTCATGAGACCGACGCTGAGCCTGCAACTGAGACTCCAACAACCTATAGAGAGAGAGAGAGAGAGAGAGAGAGAGAGAGAGAGAGAAAGAGAGAGAGAGACTGCCTTTGAGTTGAGGAAATAACCAGAAATAAACTTCTTCATTAGAGTAGCATTAGCTTCTGTTTTGAGATCAAAGAGTTTAGGAAATAGTTCATCCAAAGATGAAAATATTGTCATTATTTAGTTATGCTCATTTTAAACCTGCAAGGAGGAACTTTTATGCAGCGCAATGACTGCATACAAGTAGTAGATGAAATTTGTATGCTATATCTCCAGGTCATCTGAAGTCATATAATAGATAGCTTTGGTTGAGAATCAAATTGAAATTGTTATTATTCACTGCTAATCTCGTTTTAATTTAAAAATGTTGTACTGATTAGTGTTATTTTAGTATCATTGAGATACTACTATCGTTTTTAATATTTTGAATTGTTTTATTTTATATTTTAATTGTAGTTAAATTTTTAGTATTTTTTAAATGTACATTTTATTTAAGTTTTAGCTTTATTTATTTTAGTACATCACATTAAACTAAATTAAAATGAGATGGTTGAAATAAAGTTTAAGTTGTTATATTTTATTTCATTTCAAATAATGATTTTTTTAATGGTTTTATTTCGAGGGGTCATTTACATGACACCATTTTCAAATAAAAATGGAAATAATGGTGTTTTTTTTTTCAAAAACAGGTTCCAAAGTGCAAGTTTTTGAAACGATACCCTTATCGTCTCCGTGTAAACGACAACAACAACGTAATTTTGTGAGAATGGTGACGTCAAGCGCATGGGTAGTACGTGTTCAGTCTAGGAGTATTGTTGCTTTACAAAGTGACATCGCCAACTACTGGCCCGCCAGCACAATACAGTGTTTTTAGTCAATTTCTAAACAACTACTTTGAGGGAATCGTTTTGACAATGTTGTCATCTGTACGCGAAAAACAGAAAGGAAAAACCTTTCCGTTTTTAGTACAGCATTGTCATGTAAATGCACCCTTGGTTAACAATAAAAACCCTAGTGCAGATGTGATACAGTATACCAGGTTTCATAATACAAAAAAATAAAATAAAATGTGCCATAACCAATTCTGAAAGACGAATGAGATCTTAGAGTGAAGGTGAAGATATTCAGTGAACAATTATATATCCACCTGGTTCTCACACAAATCTATAGTATAATTTCAGAAGATTTGGAATACTGCACACAAGCTATAAAGACTAGATTTATGGTACTTTTTGGAACTTGACTATGAACCGTCATAAAGGTTTGGAAGAACATCCAGAACAAGATGTTATGACAACATAAATAATGGCCAACTTTTAATGTTTGAGTGAACCATTCCCATCTAAGGCTCAAAAACCTGCCCATTCTTCATTGCAGTGCAGTAGTCAGCATTCAACTCTTCTCGTAACTACATGCTGTATTAAAATAAGAATTGTGCAACCCAATTTAATTTTGGTTAGTCCAGTATATTATCACTACATGGAGTTCTTGCAGGTTTTGAAGCACTACTCATACTATCTGTTAAGGAGAACAGTCTGAACGCACTAGTGTTTAGGGAAGTATAAAAAGCACAATGTTAGATGATTATGTCTTTAGAAAGCTGAGGGACCAAAATCAGTCTAAAAGCGGAGAATGGAGAGATGAGAAAGCTGAACGTTTCTACATGCTCTCATCTCTCGGCTCTTGAGCTCTTGAACCTGTTTGTTTCCTTTAACCCTTCATAAACCAACCACAGCTCTCCATCCTCATTCAGTTTATGGTAGTCAGGGAATGGGGATCTGATGGGGTGGAACAAAGAAAGAAATGGTAAGAAAAAAAAGTGGCAAACTTAGATGTGTGTGGCATGTTGAGGAGTTTTACAGGTTATTTAAAATAATTGTTCACCCAATATAGAATATTTGATATTATATGTAAGGAATGGAACGTAATATAAGCCCAACTAAGATTTGAGAGCTGCTTTAGGGGCCGTTCACATATCGCGCCTAAAAACGCGTAGAAAACGCTAGGCGCACGCGTTCTCCTTTTCCCAAAGAAGCGCTAGGGCGGTTGCACTCCGGAGGCGTCTGTCGTTGCTAAGCAACCATCAGCTGCGCTCTCCATTACATGAAGGAACTTTCAGCAATGAATTTCCACCACCGAAAAACCCGTGCTGTAACTCTGTTACAAGATTTATTTACTCAGAAAAGTAAAAAAACGCCGCAGTGTTTGGGTGCACCCCATACTACAAAAACGCAAGAACCAAGGCGAATTTCACCAGCTGATTCAGGAACTCCGCCTGGACAATGGGAGGTTCAAAGCCTATTTCAGAGTGGACAAGCATAGACATATACACTAGACCTCACCTTGGATACGGCAGTTCATTAGAACGAATGCGTCAACAGAGCCGCCATCTTGAAACAGGGGAGCCCCTCCACTTTAATGCATCAGCGTCAATGTAGTAGACACAGGTCTAACGCGAATAAAATCACCATAAATCATCATGAATGCGATTTTTCTTGTTTTTTTTGGTTTGTTCCAACGGTCAGACATGTATTTATCATTGATTCCAGAAAGAAAAAAAAAAAATATTTTTTTTTTTTTTTTTAAAACATTCTTCCTAGTTCAGATTTCATCCGTGAACTTCATACGCTGCACAAAAGTCCGCCACCATCAATGAATTCGAAGTAAAGGCAGAGATAGCAGCGTTACCTAGCTACTATGACAAGACCCCTGTTCCAAGATGGCGGCGGTTTTGACGCATGCTTAGAACCCCCAGGTGAGGTCTAGTGTATATGTCTATGGTGGATAAGGACCAGTTTGATTATATTTTAAGAAGAGGTAACAAAAATGGCGAGGAAGCTAACTGGTTGGTTCGTGTCACGTGACCTACGGTGCGCTTGCGGCATTCTGAAAAGTTGAGATGTTTTTATCTCGATGCGGCGCGGGCGCGCCTGGAAAAAACGAGCGCGTCGCACCGCGACCGCGTCGCTTCCATTATGAGCGCGCATACATTTGAAATAACGAACTTGAGCGCGCAAAGGACGCGATATGTGAACCGGCCCTTATGGAGGAGGGAAAGATTAATGTAGAGAAAGAATTAAGTAAAACAGCAAAAAGATGTCAGTAAATGAAACAGAATAAATAATGAAGATAAAACAATGATAATTAAGAAGACTGCAAGTGTAACCATCAATTAATAATAATAAAAAAGCAATAGTTTGCCATCCATTCATTCACATAAATTAGCTATTTGTGCACTGAATATAGGTAATAAATGGCATCCAAGCAGTCAGCCAAAAGCCAAATTTACCTTTGGACGGACAGAAATTCTGATCAACACAATGTGATTTTGCTGGCATATTTTGTACAGTCGTTCACAAAGATTGCTGCACTGGTATATTATTTCAAATAAACCCTCCTCAAAAGCTGCCTGAAGCAAACTGGTTGTTTTATCATTTTAAAAGCAAACTAGACTTTAGACAATCCCTTCTTATTAGTTAAAGGTCATGCCTAGCAAAGCTTTTCTGGATGTTTTCTCATCTATGTATGGGCTTTGGAATGCTGCTCTGCTCTGAGCTGCACACACATGCAGTGAGAGCGGCCTATCATGCCTGTCCATCTGTTACCTCAACCTGCTCACAAGCTCGTTCACTTCAGTCGGCCTGCGTGTAAACCTGGGTGATCTGTGCAGGACAGAGATGAGCAATCAACAGACAGACAGACAGATACAGACAGAGCCTGATCCTAAACACAGAGGCTTATGAATAAGGTTGTGAGAACGATAAATCATAATTTCCTCAGTTGGAGATCGATGCTATTCAATGGATGTATGCGAGACACTATAGATAAGATAACCAGCAGCAAAACATAGATCAGAACAGAGGTTCTCAAACCGAGAGGCTCAGAGGGACACAAATAGAGATGGGTGGTGTGATGGTAAAGTAGATCACTTGGGTGTTTGCAAACACTGATGATGTGTTTTGTGGGCGGAGCCTACATGGTGGCAGGAAATGACAGTAAGCAGTATAAGGAAACAGTATAAGGTAAATATAAGTAATAAGGTAATAATAAAAGTTAATTCTGAGATTTTTTTTCCTCACAATTCACAGTTTATATCTTCAGAATTGGTGGATATAAAATATACTTCCCCTCAGAATTGTGATATAAACACAATTGTGAGTTATAATGTTCAAATTGGAAGATACTTTTTAAAAATATTTATACCATGGTCTAGGTGAATACTCGATTCTGATTGGCTGCAGGGTGTCCGTTAAAAAGTGATAGAGGACACCTAGTAAAGTAGTTCTGGTGAAACTGCCTGTTTACCATTCGAAATTAATAAATAAATGTGCTGCCTACAACAGCTGTGAGTAACCATAGCAACAGGCAGTCAAAGTATCCGTTAACAATTTGCTCTATCAAAACAAACATCTAACGTTAGTTAGATATTACATAGCCTACTAATACAACAATGAGCGACTTCATTATTTCTTTTAACATTTATGGAGAATATGACAACCTTGACGACTGGGATGCTGCTGAAGAAAGAAAAAATTTAAATAAAACGGAGAAACGTCACAAAGCGCTGCTGCTCTGAATGAGACCCTGCGGGAGTTTTACGCAGCTGTCCAGACAACCAAGGCAGGAGGAGAGTACAGCGTTTCAAGCCGCCTGTTTGATTAATTGTTTTATGTGTAATAAAAAAAAATAACTATGCCTACCTTTGTGTTTCATGAAAAAAAAAATGCATTTTTGAACCTGAAGGGTTCTACAAGCTGAGCGGACTATATCTCCGGTTGCTAAATAAACCAGGCAAGTTATTATTTTTAAAAACTAGATTTAGCCTAATTAAAATGTAAACTAGCAGCTGATGTTTTAAAAATGTTTTATTTGGCAAGTGACCATGGTATAAGCGGGTTAATGCCCGACGAGGTGTCCATTGTCAGGTTTTAATGGACTTCGGCGGAGGCAACCGTCCTCCGCTGCGCGTCGGCCGGTTCACGCCTCGCCATCGTCCATTAAAACCTGACAATGGACACCTCGTCGGGCATTAACCCTTAAATAATTTCATGATGTAACTGTGGGGGTAATACATTGTGTCCCCTATGAACTGCATATGTGAATATTATATGTAGGCCTAATTTTACATCATATATATATATATATATATATATATATATATATATGAAGAGTTCAGATGCAAAAGCCTCTAAGCGCCATTTGAAATTTTCTTCTAGAATGATCATTTTTATCAAGCTTGTATATTTAAGTTCAGTGATTTCACTTAAATGGCAATGATAATTACCTATTAATTGTTATTTATGTGAAATTAGTGAACTTAAATATACAAGTTTGATAAAAATCATCATTAAAGAAGAAAATTTCAAATGGCATTTAGAGGCTTTTGCATCTGAACTCTTCATATATGTATATATAGTTTAATAGTAGACTTAATCACAAGTTATCAGCTCAGTCTGTACATTTAATGGCTTGCAACTATAAAGCTGTGTACAAAGCTGTGTAGACAGCTTTTTTATTTTAATGGGAATCATTTAGTTTTGACAAAAAATTCAACTGATGTGCTGTTACACCATTACGATCATCTATTGTACAATGGCTTCAAAATGTCATGCATCCAGTCATATTTCAATTATATTACTGTTTTGAATATCTTGATTTTAACTCAATCTTATGTAATATGTAGCCTGTATTACTCTTTGGTTCACATTCAGGTAAAATAATAAGAAAAATGTACTTGTTTTTTTGGTCCCACTATATATTAAGTGGCTTTAAGTACCATGTACTTACATTGAAATTAATAATTTGATACAATGGACTTATTGTGTACATACATGTTTTTACATTGTACTTATATTTAAAAAATACAAGCATGTAATTACAGCTGTAATTAATTTATGTAATTACAGCTGTAATTAATTTATGTAATTACATCTGTAATTACACAGCTGACCCATCCCTTACACTTAAACCTACCCTTAAACCTACCCATACCACCACACCTGTCCCTAACCTTACCCGTATCCCACCTCAATAGCACCAAAAGTGATTTACAATACAACATGAGCACAATAAGTACATTGTACTTATTTTTAAATGTAAGTACATAGTACTTAAAGCCACTTAATATGAAGTGGGACCGTTTTTTTTAAAGTAATAGTCTATTTGATTATTAGAAGCTTATGTAATATAAACTACCGTTTAAACGTTTGGGGTCAGATAAGATGAAAAAAAAAAGATGAAAAAAAAAAACATTCAATTGATCAAAAATTACATTAATAAGGTTACAAATCTTTCTTTCATCAGAACTTTCTATTCATCGAATAATCCTAAAAAGAAGTATCACATACTCCACAAAAAAATGCAACAACTATTTTTAACACAGATAATGAGAAGGAATGCTTCTTAAGCGCACCATATTAAACATATTAAAATGATTTCAGAAGGATCATGTGACACTGCAAAAACAAATTTTCACCAGTAATTACTTAAGTCTCTAATCACAGAATTAAATTCCATATATATATATATATATATATATATATATATATATATATATTTGTAAATAATATGCATTTTTGATTAAATAAATGCCTTGGTGAGCATAAGATACTTTTTCCAAACACATAAAAAAAAACATCGACCCCAAACTTTTTAATGGTAGTTTACACAGCATTTTGGGGTACAATTTCTGATTAAGATTACAATATAGTGATATTAGAAGTAGCGACCCTCTGGGGGATGCAAATCAAAGTTAAGAGCCTCTGATGTAAGACATGACGACTTCACTATGAGTAGGGAAGAGAACAGGACTTCACACAACATATATACAGTATGTAATGGATTTGTGATTCAGGACATGACTTCTGATAGAGGAAGAAATGTAAAGAGAAGCACTGCACCTGTTGGTGTCTTTGAGACCCATGTAGGCCTGGGAGAGCTCCTTGGCATCGGTCAACTTCTGCACATCCTCAATGTACGGCAAAGGTTCAGTCATGGTAGCCTGAACACACACAGAAGATTCACACTCATGTAAGTTATAAATCACTGAATCCATCAACTAACTGACTTTTGAGCATCAGACACATCACAAGAACCATTTCTCATTCACTTCATTCTCAATTGATAAAAGTTTGAACTTGTAAACTGTAAAGTTGATACATGACATTTGGGCTTTTCATATAAATAAAGTGCCAAATGGCTTACTAAGTGTTCGAAAACATCTTCCCAAACTCTGAACGACAGCAAAAGGTAGCATTATAGAGACCAAAAATGGAGATGGAAGTGATGTAAATGATTGTTCTGCTGTCTGACCAACATACCTTTTCATCCTGATAAGTGATGAGTGCAACACAGGACAAAAGAAGAGATGAAGTTAGAAATCTTAACAAGACTTGTGAGGAGAAGAATGTTAGTGACAGATATTAACGCACAAAAAACTGAAGTAAGAATGAAAGGCTTCGTGTCTGACCTTGTGTTGCATGGCCTCTTTCTGACTGACGAGTTGAGAGCGCAGGATGAGCACCTCTTCCTTCCGCACCTCCAGCTCCTCGTTGGAGGAGTTCAGCTGATCCAGCAGGACAGTGTAAGGAGGAGAACCCGGAGCAGCGGAACCGGCCTCGGCGCTGCCTCTCAAAGACTGACGCATCTCATTCAAATGATGTTTGAGCTTCTTATTCTCAGACTCCAACTCCTGACGCTGGAGAATTCAGAATTATCACCATACAAAATTTTTTATATAAAATACGAAATATTACTATTTAACATAATTTACAACTGTATACTGCTTTATCTTCCTATTTTAGACATCCGTTTTACTGGAAAACGTTGTTCTATATCCAGCTACGGCAACAGGAAGGTGTTTCAACACAGCTGTAATTTCATAAGTATTGGTCAAAGACCATAGTGAAAACATAATGATGCCATAAATTGACTTGAAATAGACATTTAAATATATTTACTGGTAGTGGTGGCTACGATCAAAGCACACGTCAGATTTCAACTCTTGTAGTACGTACGTTTTTGAGTTAGTGCGAACTTGCACGCACCATAGTAAATCTGGTGGAGAAATGTAATGAGAGTTATGTCTGTGTGTGCTTGTGTTTACCTTGAGAGATTCATACTCCAGCTCAGCACCACGAGCTTTCTTATGTTCCTCATCATCCTGGCCAACAAGAAAACACATTTTCAATTACAGTAACAGTGCGTTTGTAAAAAAAACAAACATATATACAGCTAAGAGACCACTGCAAAATTATAACCAGAGAAAATGGTAATTTTGCTGTATGTATGTATGTATGTATGAATGTGTGTTTGAGTTTACTTTATAGATTGAAAAAATAAAAAATCAAACTGAAATAATCAAACTAAAAAACTTTAAAAATTATATGGTAAAATCTTAATTGGTAACTGTAGATTCCTTACTAACTATATACATTATGGTGAAAAACTAAAGTAAATCTAAAAGGACATTTCATGTTTGGAAGTGAAAAGGCTATTTTATAATTTACAGAGAAAAACTGTAAACCGTAAAAATTATATGAGTTAATGAATGGTTAATTTTAGTCAAAAACACGTACTTATATTATTTTAGTATCTGGGTTAGGGGGGAGTCACTATATTTAGCTTGACCCCTTAGCTGCCCCCCCCCCCCCCTTGAGAATGGGGGTTAAAATGCACTATTCAAACTTAAATGGTTGTAATTTAAGAATGCTTTGGAATATATAGCCAAGTTTGGTCTTGTTTTAAAGAAAACACTCAGCAGAATATTGCTGAAGTGAAAACACTTCAAAAAATGAAAGCATGAAAAAGTTATGGAAGTTTAAATTTACAGTAAATCAAATATACTGTCCTATATATTTTTTATTTTATATAAAATATGTTTTACTCTAAAATTCCTATAAAATCAAAGCCATAAATATAATCAAGTTATGTTCCAAATTTGAAGTTGATATCACAAAAATTGAAGTTCCCATGAGATTTTGTTTAGGCGTAGTACCAAAAATAGCCACCGGGTGCCATTGAATTCCATTGAATTTAGTTGTATACATTCTGCCTTAACAAATTAATACATTTCTGTCCAAATATCAATTCTGTCACAAAATTTGGAACCTTGAAACTCAGACCTTTCTGACAATATCAATTTTGTCAAGATTAGAAAAGGTTTTGATCATAAATTATGAAATATAATGACGCCCAAAAGGGGAGGAGCCTGATAAAACAAGTACCGTTTCTATGGTAACGCAACGTTCAATTATAAAGCAGTTTTCACACGATGAATTCTGAGTTCATAAGCTTTCAAATGATACCTAATTTATGATAACTACTAAAATATGTGATATAATAAAAAAGGCGATAAAAAAATTATATTATATTTTAAAGGATAATAAATATAAATATTATCACTTTTAGAGGATAATATTGTACTATAATTTTTTATTTTTTATTGAAAAATATATGTTTTTTATGAACTTTTAGCATAAAAACAAAAGTTTCAATGATTAAAAGTGGGTGCATCGACTTTTTGTGACAAAGGTCAAAACTCCTGTTATGATGCAGATTTTTTGAGGTGCACTCTTGTCATAAATTCATCAATTACTCTTCCTACATAATTGTTAACACAAAACAGGGGTAGAATATCTATTTAGAAGTCTTAGACCTTTCCAACGATATATAATTTGTCATAATTAGATTAGGATTTAATAGAAATATAGTGAAGTAAATTTAGGTGTCCCGGTACCGGGACGGTGACATAAAAACTAGGGCAGTGCAAAAATTAATTGCGATATTGTATATATATAAATACCTATCCATGCATGTATATATTTAAGAATTATTTGCGCTTAAATTCTGTATATATATATATATATATATATAAATACATAATCTATATTATATAAATATAAATATTTTATATATGAATAACACATTTTCTTAAATATATACATGAATGTGTGTGTATTTATATATACAAAATAATTATATACAGCACACACAAATATATTATGTAAACACAGACTTTTATTTTGGATGCGATTAATCGCAATTAATTTTTGCACAGCCCTAATAAAAACATTGATGGTATGTTCTCATTTAGAAAGCAAAGCGAGTGTGTGTATGTGTGTGTACCCTAGCTCTAGCCCGCTGAAACTGCTCTTCCCTCCGGTCGAGTTCGTTCTGCAGTGACTGTTTTTCTTGCTCTAGTTCGGAGACTCTCTTCTGTAGCTTCAGGAACAGGGACATGTCCAGTATTGCCTTGGAGACATCCTAAGGAGAGAATAAAACATTTTTATATCCACAATATGTGCCATTTTATGTTTTACTTCTAGGATATTTAAAACGTCAACAGCCAATGAATGTCAGAAAAGTAATTAGCTAACAAGCCTAAAATCGATTTAATATCATAAACAACTGTGTAATATAAATGATGGAAGTGACTTCTGCTCTCACCTCCCCACCGCGGGACCCTTCCTCGGACTCTGCAAATTCGGAGTTGTAGGTACATTCTGATTCGTTGCTGCTGTGTGTGGAGTCTGTGCGCCTGTGGCCAGGTTTTGGAACATTCTAGAAGAAAGAAAGGACCCATGAGAGGACTGGAGGCTATTACTAATAGGAGTGTGCTGGATCTGAGCCTAAACCAGGCTAATCTTTCAGAATACCCATCGATTAGTTGATTTATAAGATGTGAAATTAAGTAATCCATAGATGATTGTGTCTTTACCACTGCAAGTGAGATCTCCTCTTTCAAATCGTCGTATTTCTCCTCTAGTCGCAGGTGTTCGGTAAGGAGGTTCTGGTAGCGAGACCGTTCCTCGTTTAAATCGTTTTCTAGCTGCTGGGTTTCCTCCTTCAGAGCCCTCTGCATTTTCTCTATAAAACACAGACGACATGTTAAACATCATTCACACACATTCCCAGTGAACAACCAATATTGAATTGGTTGATATTGAACGCACATAAATGGCAGACACTGTTTATAAAGGATTTAGATTTAGGTATAGCAGTGTGTAAGACTGGCCGAATATTTTTTTTTTCAATATTTTTCTTGTTTTATATTATCAGAATAGTATATTTTCTGATGATTTTAATGTGCTGTTTCTTTTGTCATTCATTTTCATAAAGACAGAAAAGTTTCACACCAGCGCTATAAGACAGAAATATTAAATATAATGTCTGATTTAAACAATAGATTTGGTACAATGATGATATGCAGTAATAGACCATTTTGCAAGATGTAAACAACACTGGTCCAGAAGCACTTCCTGTTTCAGTTTTTTAACACTACATAAAAGCTGGGATAAAATACAACCAGCAGAACATATAAAACTGAATCAGAAAGTTAAACAAACATCTTTAAAATGTTTTCTTTACATGTGAAATAAAGAAAACAGTTACAAATTGAAACAGGAAGTGTTTCTGGACCAGTGTTGTTTACATCTTGCAAAATGGTCTATAGAATTGTTTGTTTGAACAATTCATTTGAAACCATGACTCAAAGATGTTCACAGTTTGTTCCCATGTGACATTTTTTTGTTTAGTAAAAAATGTACGTCACAGAATGATAGGTTGAAGAAGATGAGATGAAACAGTGCAGAACTAAATGCAGCAAACTACTTTAATAAACAATATCAAAATACAAAAGGTAAAAAAAAAGAAAGACATGTAACAGTGTGACATCCAAGACAATGAACTCGGAAGCCGTTAACACAATGCCATTTTCATATAAAAACTGAATACGTTTTATGAGTTTTGGTCACTTATTTACACGACAGCAGCGTTTTTAGGGCTTGAAAACGCAAACCTTTGAAAACGTGTTTCAAAGTGCAAGAAAACGATACCATTATTGTCTTGTTGTATTGAGTTAGTTTAGCAAAAACATCTGCAAAGTCTATTGCAGACATCGATATTCAGACATGCATTAATCATGGTTGCAAGTGGAGTTAACTTGCTCTCGAGTGTTGACGGACAGGCTTCGACTGTTCCAATATGGCGAATGGTTTATGCAGCCCACAAAAACAGACGATAATGTAGATGTGTGTGTGTATATATATATATATATATATAGAAAGATATATATATATATATATATATATAGGTATATATATCTATGACCATGACAACAAATTAACACAAACTAGAAACCACAATTATGGAAGGAAATACAGGAAATAAAGCAACACAAACTAAAAGTCCATGAAAGTGAAACCAAATCACCAACATAAAGTTACATTTTGTAATTAAAAAGTAATGTTTATTACAATAGATTGCTATACTGGTGCATATAAATGATGATTAAAGCTACACTGTGTGATTTTTACCCCCATCTAGTGGTGAAAGGGTATATGACCATCCAGTGAATATTAGTTTCTGTTCCTCTCAATTCCGATTTCGTTTTAACTCCTACGGTGGCCGATGTAGTCCAAGATTAACCTGGCTTCCGGTTCGACCTCGTCCATGAGTGTTAACTCAAACGTAAACGCGAAAGGCGAAGCTTGAATTAACGGGTATGTCCCTCTTTGGCTAATGTACTTTCAACTTTACATGGCGACCGACATTAGAACCCCTTACCCGTATGTATTTTCAATGGCATATTACACACTCACGAGAATACTTTATTACTTGAACGAAGTAAATATACATTAACCAGTTAACCTTCGGGCAACCGACGGCGCTCTGAAGCCCTCCCCCCCCCACTAGTTTAATGTTTATGAATGGATTTAACATGAAAGAAGATCATTAATCTTGGCAAACTATATATAATTTTAAAGGTCTAAGCCTCGGGCATCGATGTCAGTGCACTGTTTTTCGATGGAAAGCTTATAACAAATGTATTTCTTGCATTTAGGTAAGCAGTACACATAAAAACGCACGTAAAACAAAAACGGAGTACTCACCATTATTTTGTAATAACGAGCCAGACACGCATCCACTGTTAAAAATTCCAGATTGAATGGAAAGCTGAGGGTCCACTGAATAACATCCCATAGAGCATTTTTTGTCCAAAGAAAAAAATAATTGTAATATCCATGGTTATTCCTTTGTTTACATCGCGTTTCTTCAGGGTGAATATCATGCGGTTTTGTTATGCCAATAAAATAGTCCATAGAAAACAGACTCCCGGTAGCAGACCCTTATATGGGTGTGTTGCTTAGAGTGTAATGAACAAATTACGACCGCGCACACACACACAAAAACAAAGATAAGCGATATCTAGTTCAAAATATGCAAACACTGCAGTCCGTTTTTTTGACGTCATGATATGCACATCATATCATTCTGTCTTTACAACGAAAGCCAATAAAAGAAACGACATGATATGACTGATAAAACATGTAGCCAACCAGTGCACGATTCCAACGATGCCCGGGAAGTTTGAATTTCTCACACGAACATATGTTTTTATTTGCTCTCCGTCCGGTAGAGGAGCTAAACTCAGGCTCTGCAGAGCCACAGCCACACCCACCGCTGTCATGTTTTGACAGGCCTGCTATAGCTAAGAGCTAAGATAACAAGCTAAGAGGTAGCTAACAAACATCTGTTCGTGCAGACATACAGACTGTCATAAAATGATTTGTCAAAAGAAGTATTTTTCTGCTGAAGTAGTTATTCGAGATCACTCGAAGATGGATTATGTCGACATTGATGAGAAGATGAGTGATGAGAAGATCGTGACGACGGTGATAATTATGCTTGAGGGCGGAAAAGATTATCCAATTTTCGGTGAGTTGCTTTATACATAATTTATGTAACATGCACACATTATACGTATGTGTGTATGTGTGTGTGTCTGTCTGTGTGTGTGTGTGTGTGTGTGTGTGTGTGTGTGTGTGTGTGTGTGTGTGTGTGTGTGTGTGTGTGTGTGTGTGTGTGTGGGTGGTGAGAGAGAGAGAGAGAGAGAGAGAGAGAGAGTTTGGTTTCCAGTTGTTTCATACGGAAAAATGCATTGTGTAAAGTTGTGTCTGAAAAGATTATGCTACTTTATATGCATTTATTTATTTGTATATATGTATTTATATGCGTTGTACGGTTATGCAGTTGTTTGCCGTTTTTTTCTGGCACATGTGGTGTGCTATCTGAAGGATGGAGGGGCTGGACACCTGTGAAATATATTTTTACAGTCTAATATACATAATTTTTATAGTACAAATGCAAATATTTGTACTGTAAATATGATGTATGTTGTACTGTAAATGTATATGTTGTATGTATGTATATATATATATATATATATATATATATTTGTTTTGTTTGTTTGTTTTGCAGAAATTAGTGGTAAGAATTGCAGAAAATATGTGCTATATAGGAAGGAGTTGTATGCTTTCAAAATGGCACATTCCTGTCTGATGGCCGGCCATCAGTGTGATTGTTGGTTCTTTGTCTGGTCATCCATATGAATGCTGTCTATATCACTGGCCATCACCGGCCATTGATTGTTGATCGAATGGATGAGCTTTAGTACGAATGCTGTGTAAACGACTGCCCATCAGTTTGATTGTTGAATGAATGGCCAGCTATATAGAAACTGAACAGAATTATTTACTTGACATGCAGTGCTAATTATCTTTCCATTCTTTCCCATGCAACAGCCATCAAGTTGAATCTTCAGATGAAGAATGGCATCCAAGCACCAGCCAGAGATGCAAGCTCTCAGTTTCTTCACTATTCTTCACTTTTTCCATACTTTTCAGAACATTGCAATTGACAAGAGGATGGTGGCATCAAAAGCTAGGAATGGACTAAAGCAATATATGAAGGCCAAGCCAACAAAGTACAGTATTTATATCACTTGTATTTTCTATGGCAAAGAACCTCAGTTATTTATTTTTTATATTTCATAATATTTTACTTATGTATTTTACATATATTTTTTTGTTCTGTTGTGCAAATAAATCACTTGCATAAAGTCTAATGGTTGTGTGTATTATTTTATAATTGCATTATTTTATGAATTGACTGAAATAGCTTGCAGTGCCCTGCATAACATTTGGTCATTAGGTTGCTTTTTGATGTATCCAAGGAGGTTTCTTGGTACCTGGACATAGTCTTGGAAAAAATATTGTAGGAATCTCATTTTTCATAATATCTTCCTCAAATTTGAAATATAAACTGATGAGACTTATGTCTTTCAATCAATTACCTAACTGGATTCCTACAGGTTTGTTTTCATTTATTTTTACATGAAATTGTAAAATATTACATGCAGTATAAATTATCTTCAAGACACTTTAAATTCTATAACTTTTTGTCTGTGTAAGTTTTTTCAACTTTAACAGTTGGTTAATACACTCTAAAGTGTCTTCTTTTTAAACATGTCTAAATTGTGCATGTAGTGCAAATAGTTGAGCAACTGCAAATATTTTAGTTTGGGCATGTTATTTCTGGGGATGTGCCTCAGGCAGGGGGAGGGAGAAAGGGAACTGACATAGTCTTGGAAAAAAGTTTGCAGGAACCCCATTGTTCATTATATCTTCCTCAAATTTGAAATATAAACTGATGAGACTTGTGGCTTTCAATCCTTTATCTATCTGAATTACTCCAGGTCTATTTTTATATATTTGTACATGAAATACTAAAACATTTTTGTGGCGCACATTATTTTTGAGGCACTTTTAACTTTTATAACTTTTTTTCTGTTTGAGCATTATCAAATCTGATTGATTGTTAGTAGAGTCCCAACTGTCTTCTTTCCAAAGATACCTTAATTGTGCCTGTGGTACACTGTTCTCAGGAGCTGTATTTATTGTTATCCAGGCATGTCATTTTCAGCTGTGAGCCCCCTTGTGGAGCTGAAGGTTAACAGGTTAATGAGCACATATATTTTTGAAAGAACTATGTATTTTTAGCTAAGAATAAACTAAAAGAGTTACACAGTGTAGCTTTAACGTGACTAAATATTCTTCAAAAAGTTTTTGCCTACCTGTCCACTGCTGGCCTTGTTCTTGGATGAGTCGGTTCAGGTCGTTTTTCTCGTTCTTCAGCAGGTGGTTTTGCTCCTTTAGTTCTGAGATCATCTGTCACAAATATTACACAAACACAATCAGTCGACTGCATCCATTTTAGTCTTTATAAGATTATATATATATATATATATATATATATATATATATATAAACCATTACATTAGCTGTGGTAATCTACATCGTGTCACAGATGCTTGTATTTATTGAACGGGAACATTGATTTAACTGCTGGGAAACGAGAAATGTTCTATTCCTCTACTGTACCATCCTAAAACTAGAACTACCTCTAACATTTGTGCTGAGCGCTAGTCTCTCTCTCTTTCTCACCTGTGTGAATGTACAGGTCTCTTCTCTTCCCAGGTTTAAAGCAGTGTTTCTCTAAACCCTGAATATGGAGATAAACAGGAGTATATCTTTGTCTTTAGAGGGCTCTACAATCTATTTAAAATCAGGGTAATGTGGGTAACTTGTGGGTCTAACTTGACTTTTTTGAGGATCTATTGTGGAGTGTAATGTCATACCATCAATGAGGTTTTGTAGGAACAAATCAAATCAACACACATCTGAGAAACAGATCAAACACACACTAAAATATTCATTTATATTCGAGTCATACACTAATAACTAGACACTAATGCTGCATTCAAGCCATGTCGTAATTACCGTAGTCTCAAGATGACAACATGTGACGTTATATTCGGAGCTGTTCACATCCTCAGAATTATGCGTTTCTACGGCACCACTATCAACGCCTAAATGCATAATGTAATTACGAGCTCCGTGAGGACATGAATGCTTTTTACAAGTTGAAATCGTGGTGTGATGGTGTAAATGCACCTTTAGACTTTTTTTTTAACCGGTAATTATTCTAAACTAATTTGCAAAGGTTTTATAAATCACTCAGTGGTATGGGATAACTTTAGGACACTGGAACCATGGATGTAGTGTGGTACATTTAATTAATCGCTTTTTCAATCAGTAATTGACATGAGCTATCCAAATTAACTGACTTCTGGAAAACTACTGAGTAATGAATCAAATGAACGTGTTTCCTATGAATCCGTTTACTGAAATGAGCCATTCAAATGACACCACTGGGAGACGACTCAAACGCATCAGTGAATTTAAGCTGTCTAAATGAATTGACTTGTGTCAAACTCCACTTTTTAGACATATAGCACACTTCCATAAGCTCAATCCCCACCGCCATTTTGATGTGCGTTCAACTTCGTCAAGCGGGTGAAGAAAGTATTATTGGGACAGACCCTCAATCCCTCAATTTCGTCAGAGGGAGCGAGTCTACTCATATGTACACCAGGGAGATCCTTAGACCACAATGTGAACATTGTTAACGCCACACTAGACAGCGCCAAATTTTCCCACACAACTCTAATGTTTGATATTGGAGTTATTTTGACATTTACCGGCATATTACTTTTAGCTATCTTAAACTTTTTTTTACAGTTATATTTCATTGTATTGTTATCATTTTCGTTTGTGTCACTTTTTTTATTTTTTGTCCAACAGCCCAATCATGCAAACAGAATGGTCCGTAAAACAAATCAATAAGGATAAAAAAACCTGTAAATAATAAATCAGATCCATAGCGGATTCCAAGTGATTAATGGCTTACGGCGTCCCATTGCAAGAGTTCCACCAGTAGTGGGCGCTCAATGTTAGCAATAACGTACTTCAGAGTGAACGAGACGAATTGAAGTTAGCGAGGGAAGGGTATAAAGAAATGGACAGCCCAGGATTGGGTTATGACTCAATGCATCAATAAATCAGTTGGTTTTCAGTTCATAGAAATTAATGACACCAATGAACTGATTGGGAAAGTGAATGACCCTCAGCTTTTTGAGCATCGCACTAGTACAGTGCGCACAGCTATACAAGTGAACGTGCAGCACCTGTTCCATCTCGTCCTGGTAGGTTTTCGCCCATTCCTCGATGGCTTTCTTTTCCTTCTGTGTGTTATTTAGGTCTTTGCGAAGTCGCTCCAGCTCCTCCATAAGAGTTGTAACTTTGTTGGCGTTGTTTTTGGCATCCTCTTCTGCCCCTCGCAGACGGTGGACTTCCACACGCATGCGCTCAGACTCTGCAGCATGGCTGATCTCTAGACCATTCAAACGCTCGCTGAGAGAACGGTTGTCCTTGTTCTAGAGTGAAACCAAAACAGAACATCAGTTCATTATATTTAATTAAATAAGTACTATTTTGGCAGAATTTTAGTTCTAGAGTCATTTTACTTTAGTGAAGTTATCTTATTTACGCCATAGCATTCTTTTGTTTAGCAGTCTTTTTGCCTTGCAAAATTCTGTTTCGTTCTAAGTTTGATAAAAATGTTACTCCAATGAGCCAATAAAATTCCTTTTCAACGTTGATTCCGACTTTTAAACAAAATCTTTAAACTGACATTGAACCTATATAGTACAATTTTGTCAAGATGATACATTTTCAATTAAAACCATTAATTGTCATTAGAATCATTACATTGACAGCTACATAAACACACACTTAGACAAAAATCCTGCACAGGGAAGTCCAGATTTAAAGGTGCCATATGTAATAATTGAGGTAAAATATAAAAAAAAAATAGCTACACGCATCAAAAGAATGAGAAGAAATAAGTGCAATGATGTAATTAAAAAACTGACAAGTTATAGTGCTGCAGAGATATAAACCTAAATTAGCAAATGCTAAATTACTAGTCCCGGCCCGGCAGGTGTCGTAATACCAGTTCCGGCCATGGGAGGCGGTATGCGGGCGGGCAACGTTACCACCAGCCAAACTGCAATAGACGAGTGAGTCGCGCTCGCGCCGGCTTGTGTGTACTTGAACCTGATGTCAGTCGTGTGGAAATACAGCCCACTACTACATTTCAGTTCAGGGAAGAGTTCAAAAAATGATTGGTCGACATTATGCATGAGGAATACATTTTGGTAAGTTGTAGCATACTGTATCTTTCAACAGTGTTCGTGTTCTTTCCATTAGCTAGTAGAGACGATCGGTTCACGTGCGCTAGGGATCTGCGTCTAACATTTACAAGCGCCAAAACGGTATTTATTGTTTGAATTGCATAATAAAATTGACAGAATCTGAGAGCTTAACTAACCTGCTTGCTAAGTGTTAATTGCATGCGTCTCACGGTGAATTCGTAAGAGTTGGCAGCTCTGAATGGCGCTAGGTTGATCAACATCAGCGAATGCTGTCTCTCAAATTAATTCAAACTAACAATAAAAGTGTAATATGAACAAAACGAATACCGTAAACTTAAAATAATAGCCCGCAGGCTTTTATTTTCCCATATCGTCGAAATGCAACAGCTTGTTTTTGAGACAGGCGTCCATGAGACGGTCTTCATCATTTAGTGTTGAGATGTTGTTCATTGAGTCTCTGATCTCTAAAAATCTCCAAATGCTCCGCGTGAAACTGCGGTCTTCCGACCTTTTACTATCGTGTCAAATGATTTGAATAATATGCGGAGAAAGAGAGCAAAACAGCGCTCGCTTGTGTTGTTTGAAGACGTGAGTGTGCGCGGCCGCGGCACAACACATTTTCTGGAGGTATACTCCCCCCATATGTTATGGAATATGGAATGTTTTTTGATTTTTAGTTCCAGATGGCACCTTTAAATGATGTGATCATACACAGCTAACACACTGTGGCTCATTCTAAAAGAACTAAAAGCAGAAAGAATCAAATGAACAGACATCATGAAGTCAACATGAAAGCATGCTTGTAACCCAGTTTCCTTCCATTACGTGATGTTTTTTTGTTTTTGTTTTTTTTTACTAAATAATGATATTTACAGGAAAAAAAGGTGGGTAGAATCTGATTGGGAAAAAATAGTGTCTACATAACAGCTGGAAAGATTCTGATGAAAAACTATTGTATGGAACAAATTACACAGATGCACAGGAAGACCAAGGACAAGCATTACGATTTCATATTGACTAAAATTGACTAAAAAAGAGAGTTTTAAACTACATATGTAAACATACATATACGCACAACCGGCGCTGCGTCAAAGAATGTCTCTGAATAGGTTCACGCCCACTTTTGGGGGAAAACAAACTAGACTCCCCATAGACTTCAATACAAAATAACAGCAAAAACCAACGTCCGTACACAGCCGACAGGCGTAAACAACTAAGGAATCACTTATATAAAACATGTCAAGTAATTATATGTCCACCCTGCCTGCCATAGAGCATGAAAGATACATACACAAACTTAATTTGGTCAATTTAAACACATGTCCCAGCGTCAAATTGGTGTAACAACCTCACTCTGTGGCCAGAGGTGTCTTACCCGGACATACTATTTGTACTTCACCAGGTAAGCCAGTGAATGATTTTATTTTGATTTTTAAATTAAAAAACCTTAATGTATATTATGAATTTATGATGATAATGGCAGGTAGTCTGGGCTAGTTGACAACGGGCATAAAAAATGGACATATAATTACTTGACATGTTTTATATAAGTGATCTCTTAAGTTATTTACGCCTGTCGGCTGTGTACGGACGTTGGTTTTTGCCGTTATTTTGTATTGAAGTCTATGGGGAGTCTAGTTTGTTTCCCCCAAAAGGGGGCGGCGGCAAAATTGACAGTTAAGTTCCCGGATGTGCCGGTTGTGCGTATGAACTGAACTTTTAAATGAGGCACATTTAAGCCACAGCATATCAATGTGAAGTGCGGTACCTGTTCGTCTATCCTGCGCTGCAACTGCATGATCTTGTTCTCCATGCCGATGTTGAGTTTCTTGAAGTGTTCGACCGAGCGCGCCTCGATCTTGAGTTTCTTGAGTTCCCACTTGGCTCGCATGCGACGGGTGCAGCACTGCAGGTACACGATGGCTCTGAGCGAACGCTTGAACCACTGCCGCGCCAACCAGCCGCGTACCATCTTCTGAATGATGATGGCCTTGTGCTCGCGCAGAAGCTAAACAAACACACAACAACACATGATGAACAGGTGAAAACAACACAAATATGCAAGAGTTAAGAAAGACAGTGAGCACTACAGTGACAGCGCAGTGAAATGCTCTCAAATCGCTTTTCTCTCTCACACCTTCTGCCTTTTTAATTTGCAGATATTACACATCCTGCCTCGATAAACCACTGATCAACAGAGCTCTGACCGAAGGAAAATAGAGGAGTGAGAGAGAGTAAGTAATAATACAGCCACAGCTGCTGTGGTCCATCAGTGGGACAGTCCCTACACTGGAACAATTTTCTGCCTGTGAGATCACATGACCAAACACATTAAGGGTCTTCACAACACTGTGCTAAATCATCCTCTTCCAGAGGCTTCAAAAACTTTCACCAGAGACAAGTAAGCCAAAATAATTTGTCAAAGACCTCAGGGTGGAACAGAATTGCTAGTTTCTTAGTTCAATAATTTATTCATTTTTTTGTTACTGGAAGGTGCTCTTTTCAAATAGTTTAGAGTGGAACCAAACACACCAAATTTAACGGTGTTTATACTCTTGGCAGCCAATTATTCATCATTCAAAATAATATCTCGATATTTCATAACACATTGTGGTTTAATCTCGTTTTTCTGCTGTTACAGATTACACCTGGGTGCAAAAAGTCTCTACATATTTTATTTTATTTTTAATCTTGTTATTGATATTTAACTTCATATCATTTCATATATTAGTTGTTTACTCTGTTTGTTATTATACGCTGCAAATGCTTTGGAGATAAAAACATACAGTTTCTTTCATAAAAGTAAAATTTATATCAAATATTTGAAATGTCAAATTAAAACATTGGAAAACAATTAAAATTGTTAACTGAAAATTTGAGATTTTACAAGTTTGTTTGGTATTAATTAATATTTTTGAACTAAGTATCATATGCTCATCATGGCTGCATTAATTAAAAATTGATTGCATTTATTTATCATGCATTTACATAAAAAAGGAAAACTACAATATTGCAAATAACAATAAAACTACAATCAGAGTCACATGATCCTTTATAAATTATTCTAATGTGCTGACGTACTGCTTAAGAAACATTTCTCATTATTATCATTGTTTAAAATAGTTAAGTTGCTTAATATTTTTGTGGAAAGCGTGATGCACTTTTTTTTTCAGAATTCTATGATGAATAATTAGTTGAAATTAATGCATCCTTGCAGAAAAACAAACAAACTTCTTTCTTCTTTATATAAAAAAGTAGTTTAATTGAAATTAAATTGGCTAATTTTAGAATCAGTTACTCATAGGCGTTTAATCCATTGCACTTTTAACCCCATTCAGTTGCCCAGGAGTGTAGTTAGCCGCTTTCACAGGTCATGTGTCCAATGCCTGAAATAATTAATTGGTTTCTAATGTGTTAATTATAAACCACCCTGCCAACATCATACGTTACCCTGATGCATGCAAGTATAAAACCCAGCTAGTTTAAATGTTACAGTAAAAACGGAACTAAATTACAACTGCAAAGGTGCATGTAAATAAAAGTGCAGTATGTGAGGATGTGTAAAAGGGTATTATAATGTGTGGTTTCCTCCTCACCGCTTTGTACAGTTGTCTGGCCATGTAAGCCCTGAGGATGCACTGCATGGCAAGAGCAGCAGCCTTCTTGCGTTTGTAACATGTTCTCTGGACATACATGCGCTGGTACTTCTGAATGATGATTGCAGCACGTGTGCGACGCAGGAATTTTGCAAGACTGTGGGTCAGGAAGAACAACGTAGAGGTTAACACATGAAAAAAAAGAGTTTAGGGTGCAATAGTTGGGTTCCCAGAAGTAAGAATTCCATTCATATTTTAAAAATGGCTTATAAATCCTTAAAGACAGATATACTGTGAGCTCCAAAGTTGTTAATTAATGGTATAGCTTTTGTTGAATTCATCAGTTCGCATTATTTGAACATATTTTTCCAAAGAATGGTGATTAAGAGAGGAATTTCTGGTGAAAAACTACATTACCCATGATTCTAAAGAAAATTCCACCAATCAGAGTCATGGTGAGAAAATTGCACCAAAAGATCTCTGCAGTGAACGTCAACTACCATGATGCACCATGAATGTCTCCCTACGCTAATTGTAAATCTATGCATACTTTGCAATAAATGTAAGATATATATATATATATATATATATATATATATATATATATTCAACATCTTTAAATCAATAGTTTTATACTTCATTTTAAATATGATGAATATGATTCAACTACAACTATGTGATATGATTTTGCTCTTTCCCTCATTAAAGTACACAGTCTTGTGCCTTTGTCTTTAAATAAATATAAATAAGTATATATATATATATATTTTTTTTTCTTTTTCTTTTTTTTTTCTCAAATCTTCAAATTGGAGTTCATAATGTTGTAATTTTCCTAAACTGGGCTGGCTGGATTGTTTTATAGCTTTTAACTCATAGCTTATAATTCCAGAACCATCTCCACAGTCAAAGTGAACGGGCACTATTGTATTCTAGAAGCGCCGTGTCATCTTATTTTGTATGATTCTGCTTTTCATAAATTTAGTCTGGCTCCGCCCACTATGAGATGAGTCCCCTCACCAGCGGGCCTGGTGTCCACGGACGTATCTCTGGATGGTTGTGGCAGCATGTTTCATGCGCAGGTACTTCTTTCGCGCCAGCCAGCAGCGGATGGTCTTCTGGATGCGGATGCAAGCAGCACGCAACTTATCTGCACGCAGTTTTTCCAGGTACGCAACCTGCCCCGCTCGGAAAAAAATCTTGGTCTTGCCAAACTGGTACTTGTCTGGATCCTATCGAGGACAAAAAAAAAAATGGAGAGAGAATTAGACTTTTCATTAATGTTAAACTTTATCTTCAACTAGTATTTCCAATTCTGGGTGAAATCAGGACATTGTTGCAAAGTGTTTTTTTAATCAGGTCAAAAGAGTCCCCACACAGAGTATACATATAGTTTTATAAGCTGAGTTGTCCTCTTCTTGTACCTGCACAAGTTTCTCCAGAACGTTCTTACAGGTCATCTTCCTGTCCGTCAAAACATCTTTTTGTACCATCAGGACACGATACCTGCTAAAGAACTCTTGATACGTCCACCTGACAAACAAAAGTAGTCGTGCAAACACAAATATACAGTCAGGAAGTGTTTGAGAAAAGGGAGTTCGGTGTGGTAATGTATAGATCTTCACTGTACCTAGATGGGAAACCAGCTGCGGAGATGCGTATTGTTTCCAAAACTCCACAAGCACGAAGTTGCTGCACTGCCCTCTTGGGGTCAAACCTGGTAATGACAGAAACCATATATCAGACTAGTATCACCACCACTTCTGCTGTTCAAAATGATATTTAGAATGATATCTCATGAAGAAATAATATTAGGCCTACAGATTGTCTAAACTAGTGAGCTGCCAGCCTAGATAGGTTTTTGGGCCATGGTTGGCACACTCCTGATATGCAGTGAAATTATGCTACCTTTTGCAGTTCTTTTAAGCACTATAATAAATGACATGCTGCAGCTTTAATACTGGTAACATTTCATCATATAAGATGCTGAAAAAAGCTTAGGGAAATTTTGTAGCTTTGGGAATCTTTATGCATCTCTTGATTCTGAGAAAGGCAATCTGATTCTAGTTACAAGAAAATATTCAAAACCCCCCTCTTCAAATTTGTTAAGATATTTCCAGTACTTGCTGGGATTGTGACAAAGAAGCTTGTTTTTTTATTGATGTATTGAATTAAAGGCAGAGTAGACGATTTATTCCAGAAACATTATTTGTCATGCTGGATATATATATGTGTGTGTGTGTGTGTATGTATTAGGGCTGTCAAACGATTAATCGCGATTAATCGCATCCAAAATAAAAGTTTGAGACACACTCATTTCATTGGTTTCACATTCTCATGTGCCACACCCACGATTTCTCACACTGAAGTGTCAACCCGGTCAGTCAAATGCCTGAAAGATTATTTTATCTTTAGATCTACCTGTTGAGCCACTCGTGATTGACTAGTTATGCCTCAAATTAGTTAAAATCTCCCAAAATATAGAGCGAGCGCAAATGCGAGACAGAAACCGTGCTCCAAACCACGTAGTGTGCGCAGTGAAGGAAAGCGAGCGAGAGATCTTGCGTGACTAATCTAGAACCCATGTAATCTAGGTGGTCTAGGTGAGAGCTCTTTAAGAGCTCCCTGCTGTGTGTGTTCATGTGTTTTGAAGGAGGCGTGGCTTTGGAGACGTTTTGAAAGGAGAGTGGGATCTTATGCTTTTAAAGCTAGCTTGCTATTGCTAGCCTCTCTGAAAATCACCTACCCTACCTTTATTATGTTTGCTGTAGGTTCATTTAACATAAACCATTGTTTAACCATGATTTTATTTTTTTATTTCATTTTCTGTATTAAAACAACTGTTATTGAGGGAAAATTAAAATATATTTTAAGTTTACATTTGGATTTTATGTGTTCATCTGTAGCATTGTAATTTAGATTAAAGTTAGATTATTTTAATGCATTAATACATGATTAATTTATGTCATCCTGAGGCCCACTTGCAAGATTGCGGAGGCCCTTTAGTGGGCCCCAATCCCCCCAGGTTGAGAACCACTGTTCACTGATCAAGGCAATTCTTGATCGACATTTGTTTTCTCAATAATTAATGGTTTACCAACTTTAAATATCCAATTTATTTGTGCATTATTATTAAATTAGTTATAATAAAGCTATAATGTTTATAAAGTATTTATAAAGCTATAAAGTTATAATAATAAATGCCAATGTTAATGACTTCCACCCTTTTTTTGCTCTTAGTTGTAGTGAACACCGCTTGAATCTACATATTAAAAAGTTGACAATCTATTCCGAAAGATCAGGGAATCTCAAATTATGATCACAGTATATGTATACAGAGAGAGAGAGAGAGAGAGAGAGAGAGAGAGAGAGAGAGAGAGAGAGAGAGAGAGAGAGAGAGAGACAAGACAGAAGGCTGATGAAAAACTGACGTGAAGGCAAATTTGAAATCGTTGGGTTTGATGCAGCGAACGTAATGAGGCGTAGTTGCATTCAGCGTCTCCATCAGCAGATGCAGAGAGTTACGGAACTACAGAAAGAGAAAGAAAAGTAAACATTCATTCAAAATCTAACATAAACTTGCAGTATTTTTAATCTCATTCACTGTCACTGCTTATTTATACAGTATAACACAAAAATACAATTCATGTACGTAGATATTCAATAAAAGTACAAATACGAGTAGGCTTCTACCTGCAGTCCGACAGTCTTCTTGTGTTCTTTGCCAGATTGGCCAGCTGTGCTCTTGACTGGTTTGACACTGAGGCGAGTGCGTCCTCCAGTGGTCAGAGCAGCACCGGTTGGACTCGTTGCTTTCTCCTCATCATGGAACAGCTCCACCAGCAGGTCAAACTGAGAATTACAGCAAAGACAGACTTAACATACTGGTCAGATACTGTACCATCATTAGTCAAACAGACTTTTGGACATGGAAATAAAGCAAAGGTCTTATTAAAAAAACTGTAATTTGCTCTTAAATTGTTTTTAATTTCAAGTCCCCCTGTAGTCAATAAAACTCATCTTTGATCACCACAATGACATTTAAATGTTTTTTTTTCCTTGGAAACAAAAGGAAATGCCTTAAAATAGCTTGAATGTAACTACACCCTTTGTTTAATTTAGTATATGCGGTTCTATGAATATGCAAATTAGCCCTGCCTCCACTCACTCGCACTAGCTCAAAGATCCAATCGTTGATGATTACACATTGACGCGATTGGTTACAAGCTAGTTTGTGACGTCAGAAACACCAGCGATTTCAAACCGCGTTTTTGAGACTGTCTTTGGTTCACTGCGGTTTTAAAGAGCCCCAATCATAGCATTTGAAATGTTCCAATTTTTGTTTTGGGAGTTCCCAAAAACAGTTTAACATGCATGCAAGGATAAAAAACACTATTTGTCTTATAATGTGCATTTTTTTTTACCCGATTTGCTCAACGACTCCCAAATGATTGTTCGACGATTCATTTTCCCAAACACCTCCTTTGAGTGACGCGAATCTGTGGCTATTGGTCAAATGACCCAGTCAGTTGTTATTGGTAAACCGTAGGCAGAGATTGTCGGCAACGGAACGCCCATAACCAGGATTATAGCTTGTCAAGTGTTGAAAATTGTATATAGTGTTTGAACAAACGTGTCAGAAAAAGTGCACTTTCCACACGGTCCCTTACTCGCGTCTCCGTCAAGAGCGAGCTTTCCCGGCGAAACTCACATTGCGGGGGCTTTTGAGGGGCAGTGCTTATTATATAAAGCTAAGTCATATCTGGCTAAGTCGTTTAGGAGGTAATTGCCATTTTTCAATGAATGTCTGGTGAATATCAAAAACAAAACTAACTTTACCCCGCTTAGAAGCTGCGCGGAGTGTGCACAACACACACAACACAATATAACTATATTGTGCATGCTACAGAAAACATAACAGCAAACATTATTAATAATACTTACAGATTGTGATTCGGAGGAGGACGAACCTGATCCATATACACTGGATACTGAGCCCTCCTTCAGGAACAACTGGCTAGCTAATCCACATTTGAATTTATGTATGTTTTTGAATGATTCGTCATTAAAATGATGAGAACACAATCGGGCTATACTGTTGTGCTATCGTTGCAAACACAATGAACTCTGACCACTGATTCTTCACATGCTCGTCCCTGGACAATGAAAACAAGTGGCTGAACTGTCTTTGCAATGTAGAACACAGCGTCTTCTCGACATGACGTGATTCAGCTAAAGTTTTTGAATGTGTTCTAGACTTCAAGTTTACACTCCCGTCTTGTTGGGAGCGGCCAGTGACCTATCTACGTCACGACGAAACAGCTAATGACTCGTTTCAAAAACAATTCATTTCATAGACTCAGAGTCGACTCTCACTTTTGAAAGACAATAACTTTATATACGGTGCACTTTCAGGTATAAATCTTTGCAGGATGTTTTCATTCCCTTAGAGATATATACCACACTACATGAACAGTCATTTTCAAAAATCCATGATAGGTGCTCTTTAAGGAGAAAATACTCAGCAATGGTGTTGACTTATGAATTTGCACATTGTTTGACTCAAAGTATGTTAAAAAAAACACATAGACATATTAATTACATTAAAAACTTGATTTTCACCACAGGGGGACTTTCAATTAATTTGTATATGGACTCAGCTACAGATAAAGTCAGTTGTCACTCCTCTTTTGAGTGCGTAATTCTGTTCTGTACATGGTTTACTTATTTACAGAAGTGAATCATTCTTTTAAAAGAAGGAAGCCTCAAAAAGCAGTAGTTTACAGTGATTTCAGAATATCTAAGGGGAGTTGTTAGGTACAACCAAGCGTGCCGCACAAGCCCTGAAAAGTGAAGGCAAAACATCTCGATGGCCCCCCGGTGGCCAGTCCAAGTATAGGTCATAAACCCCACCTCACCATGTTATTCAACGGCATGCGAGACCAACTAAACAATTAAATTACACTTCAAATATCGCTTTTCCAAATATGGTTTCTGCTATGTACTGCAGTTTGTATCATGCTGATGTAATTTCAAGTGTTTGCTTTTAAAATAAATTTGTTTTTAGTTTGTAGTTTGATGCAGTGGTGGTGACGTCATGATTGACAGGTTCTCAGAGAGAAGTAGTCACTGAAGCACCATCAGTCTTTTTTCCGGGGATCTTCGGAGGACTGAGCAGATTTGAGCTTTAAATTTATCTAAATTTCTATAGTGAATTTAAAAAAAGTGCAGGAGCGTGTTCTTGTGATTGATTCTGCGAGAGTGAGGGCGGGGCCTTGATTTCGCGGCTTTACTTCCTGCTCACTACTGTGCCTGTCTAATCCCGAAAACGCTTCTGCGCAGAATCAAGTTCTGAGATGTCAGTGCCATTTCAGGATACCGGCGGCTTCACTTCTGACCAATGGGTGAGAGCGAAGGGGCGTTGTCCATCTTTTTTTTTTTACAGTCTATGGGTACAACGTGCCTAAAACCCATGTTTAGCTGTTTTAAAGATCACTGTAAACAATTGTTTCACGAAACTCAATGCTTTTATAAAATGGTTGAAACATTTTCCTGGCAAGGTTTCATAAAATAAATGCACAACAGCATTTTACGAGTGTTTCGAATGTGACTCAACCAATCATAATCAAGAATGGGGACAAACCATTTTATAAAAGAGAATTCACTCCTGAAAACTTTAGAGAGTTACAACTGAATTTCTTAACGTAACTGTGTTAAATGGTTGGCATTCATGTTTTTGTACAGGCTTGAGACACTTGAGCATTTGTCACTTGCAATACTTAGCAGTTTGTCGTAGCCTTTGTCAACAGAACACTTAAGTATCACTTTTTTTAATTCAGCAAAGCATAATTAATAATTATGCATGTCAAGGCAAGCAAACCATTATAGAGCGGGATATTAATGAACAGAAGGGGCCATTTACTCAGATAATGTCCCTAGGGTCTCATTTACATCGATCGCTAAGAGTTTGCGTTCTGAGGGACACTAGTGCTGGTACTAAGCAGCATGCAGCCTAAGCAAAATAAAAGTTATCATGGGACCAACAATTTAAACAAAGTCCCCACACAGCAAACAAACAAACTCCAGCTTTGTGTTCTAATGTTCTGCCTGTTTTTAATTATTATTATTTTTGTCTATGCATAGAACATATGGATTCCTTTGGCTGTTGCATTTTAAAAAGCTTAGTTCACCCAAAAATGAAAAATCCGTCATTATGTATTATTGTTTTAAACCTGTATGTTGTTATTTTTTTTTATTTTTTTCCCCAATAATTACCTTGATTGTGGTGGCCTGCCAAAATTTCATAATGAGACAAAATTATTTTTGCACTTTTCATAACATAAAATATCTCTAATGTAGTGATTTGAGCCATTGCTTTGGCAAACCATCTGTCAATCAAATTAAAAGGCTGTGGATATGCTGTATATATTATCACGATTATTATTACATTCAAATTGTTTGGCTTCCACTATCAAAAAAAAAAAAAAAAAGTTTGGTCACTGGTAAGCTCTTAACTGTGCTCTCAATGTACAATTGAAGAGCTGGAGTTTTTCCCTCTTTTCCACCTCGTTTTTTTAAAATCGCTTATGAGTGTCCATGTGGCCGTGCACACTTTACTTTTGCTTTCAAAGTAGAGGCAAATCTGGAGCAACAATTGCTTGAATAGTGTGTTCATTACTATTATTTATGAAAACCACAACAAAACAGTACAATGACAAACTTAAAGCAGCACTATGCAGTTTTTTTTAACCTTAACTGAATAGCTTCGGAGTTATTGCAAAGGTTATATGACTATTTTCGGGTTGAATGTTGGGCGTCTCGCCACCCCCTGTTGCCTGTGAGTGAAAAAAAAAAAAAAAAAAAACACACTTGCAACTTTGATCCGGCGGGAAGTGTAGCGTGATATCAGGTCTCGCGATGTAACGAATTGCTTTACGGCAAGAAAGATCAGCTAAAATGAGCATCAAACAGAAATAACCAGGCACTGTATGTGCTGTTCGATGCACATACAATACAGACTGCCGACAGTTCAACAGGGCGCAGATATTAAAGGGGCCACACCTTATTTCCACTCGTTAAGGCCATTGCACACTGAGTCCGAAATTCGCATCCGAAATTTCTGCACGTTAAAAAAAAAATTCGACCTCACGTTATGTCAATCACGCTTGCACACCGCCTCCGAAACTTTCGTCCGTCATAAAAAAATTCGGATCGGGTTTGATTTTCTGCGTTTTTTGCATCCACAGCCAGCATTTTGAGAGGTTTTTTCGACAATTCAGGGCCGGGGGGAGCTCGTTTACTGTCTATGGAGCTCGTTCTGCACATCATTGCACATATGCGCAGTGCTTTCAGTTTCAGTTTTCAATTCGATCAAGTGTTTATGTTCTCTTCTCTCGATTGGATTATGAAAGGAATAACCTCCCCTTTCAATCAGATTGAAATTTCGGATCGATTAATGTGTGATTGAGCAGCCAATTCGATAACTAATGTATTATTTGGGTACAATATATAACCTGTAGCCTATACAGCTGTTCTGTCTGCCCAGCGTTTCCACTGGGCCGCGCGCGTCCGTGCGTGTGTGTGTGTGTCCATACCTTAGACATACTGACAGTCTCTGTTCAGAATCGATTGATTCACGGAAATTGGTATTGTTTTTAAAATGTGGCTCCAGAATCGCAAGCAAAGCGTCAAACTGCTCCACTGACATTCTGAGGTAAATTTTGAATCGCTCGGGATAAATTCGCAACTCGCAATTTTCGCAATTTCAGGATTGTATGGACGTAATATTTTCTCTTTCTTCTCTTTTCAATAAGAGAGAGGACAACAAAATCATCCTCACTGCTTGACGAATCCATTTTGTATTTTTGCGTTTTTCCCCGCAAAGGTTTAATAAATACGCATCGGACTCGTGACGCATTTTTAGGCTGACGAACACGAAAAAACGCATACGAAAATTTCTTACTCAGTGTGCAATGGCCTTTACAGCTTCCATCCTACTGAACAGGTACCGGTATACAGGGGGAGGGGATCAGGCCGTGAGTGCAGAGACATCTCTGCGTGAGTGCTATTTACAACAGTACAAGTACTCCACAGCGGGGTCACAGTTTGACAAAAACGGAAATTGTGCATAGTGCTGCTTTAAAAATTTTTATCAACGAACGTAATAGGACGAAAAAGGTGCAAATTGGAAGTGTTCCCACTGAATTGCACACTGAATTGAGACGCGTTCAGATTAAATTGTAGTATCTGTTCTCTAAATTAACTAAATGATTTTATTACAATAAACAAAAACAAAAATCAAGCGGTGGGAAAGCTGAACACCGTGTAACACAGACTATCGTAACAAGCCTACTCTAAAATGAACAAACATTTCTTCTGCGGTGACATGCCAAAAAAGCTCATATGAAGTTTATGGATCACATCGACCACTGATATTTTTGAGCTGGTCACAATAAACTGCAAGTGAGTGAATAATGACTAAGTCTTAATTTCTAGGTGAACTGTCCTTTTAAGAGCGTCAAAAATGTACTGAAAAGGACAAACAGTCCAGCTGATTGTCAAAACATTTCAACTAAACAGATGTTTCATTCTGTCTGGGCAGTTGAGTTTGTTTGGATGATGTTTGGAGGCTCTAGAGCTGAAGAGGTTTTATTTTTCTACAGAATCAATGCAGTATTGAGATTGTGCCCTGCACAGCAGAAAGCAGCAGACTGAACATGCTGATACACACACACGCACGCATCTCTCATACGCACACACACACACATCCAAATCTTAATTTTTGTATCTACTAGAGGGCTAAAGAGACAGCATGTATATGCTAAATTTTACCTTCTGCAGGGGTACAGGTAGTCATGTTCACAAACAACACATAGACAACATGACACGATGAGAAAACAGAAACAGAATTACTAAATGCAGAAAATACAGATACATCGGACAGATGTATATAATGTACTAGTTGAACAGCAATGCAGCTCAGACACCAGCTCTGAATAATATTATGTTGGCTTTACAACAAAATATCAACTATCATTCTAAATTTCTCCTTTCGTGATCCACGTACAATAAGAATCAAAGGGGTTTGGGCTCACTTCAGATAATATAGTTCTGTCAACTGATTTAAAAATGTAATTAATAAAACATTTCTGTAATCGCGATTAATCGCACCTAACGTTAAAATCTGTAATGTATGGTTGTATCGTAATACATAACTTCACACTGAATATCCAAACTATTGTAGAAACAAAATTAAGATGGCATATTTTAAACATTTGTTTAATTGCATCTTTATTTGAATGAAGGCTAGTAACATTAATACCAATACTGCAACTGATGTCTCTATTACTGTAAATAGATTTTTTTCTCAGTTTCTATAGGGATGAAGTGTAATTATATTCACATTACAGTATGATTAAAAGCCATAATTTGATACATTTAATAGGCTTAAACATATAATAACAACTTAATCTTCACATAAATTAAATTAGCTGTGCATTAAATATAGTGTGTGTTGTATTTAGAGTAATAATACATAGTAGTGATGATTCAGTCTCAGATGTTTGAATGAGAGCTGTGAGTTCATTTCCCCCAATAAGTTTAGTTACAAAAGTAAGAACAATTGTGTACTTTAATCACTGAAACTATTTTTTGACAGCCCTAATATCTCTCTGTGGAAACAATAAGCATCAAGCCCAATAGAACCAAAGACAAATTTTGTTTTGACAAACAAATTAATTTAAATGATAAATATTCAGAAGTTTTTAGGACTTTTAGCTGATGTCTGGCTTCATTTCTAACTTATGAGAAAATATAAATGTGTACCTAGATGAAGCAAGCAAACACACACATGATATTATGAACAGATGATCAATGATATGAATGTGAGGCAAAATGAATATGGTAAAAACAAATGACCTGTGTAACATGTGGAGTGAAAAATTTGGATTATCCGCTAACAGACTGATCTGGAAAAGCACCAGAGAGCCCGAGCCTATTACTGATATAAATTGTTCATTTTAAATAATACTTGACTTAAAGAATAATTCTGTCAATTGAGGCATTAATATTTGTCCCAGGCAGTTTGGATTAGTACGGCATGTGTTTGCTCTTACCGCACACATTTACTGCCTCACGCTGAGGAGAAAAAGCGTTAGACAGCATTCAGAAACCCCCAGATACAGATGAAAATTATATGATTTTACAGAATCAAATTGCACTTAAAAGTTCACTTAGTCAGTATACAAAACTACCGAGACTTGCCCATGATTTTTCAAAATATTATACATTTCCATGACTTTTCTAAGCCTGAAAACATAATTCCTTATTTCTTTGAATGTGGGAAGCCCTACAATATTTCAGCAGTTAGGTCAGGTTGATAAAAGCACATAAAAAAAAACATAGCACAATAAGAATACCATGGTATTATTTGATATATTATTAATAAATGCTGTCCCAGCTAACAGGGAACGTTCTCAAAACTTTGGCTAACGTTCTGGCAATCCTCTTATTAAATTTATGAACCAAAGTTCTTCCAGTAACGTTAATAGAATGTTTGTTCAAAGATATCTGGTCTAGAGCCCGACCAATAAAGGATTTTAAAGGCTGATACCGATACAAATATTTTTGAGTTTTAAAATCCGATATTCCGATATATCGGCCGATATTGTATTTATTTTTTATTTTTTAAACTGGACATGATAGTCACACATTTTTTCATGCTTATTTGAGTTAAGAGAACTGACGGGGATGTTCTTTTAATTGTTATTCAAGCAATGTATATCGTGCCCAACTCAACGAGTGTTGCCAACAAGAACGGTGTAGAGTGCCCTCTGGTGGACAAACTGTACAACTCCAACACTCATGACATGGTTGAAGCGTGTTTCGTCTGTTTTTATTTTATTTTTGAAATATTAATTTATCGACCATTATAACTGCCAATACCGATAGTTTGGAAAATGCCTAATATCGGCCGATAATATCGGTCTGCCGATATATCGGTCTGGCTCTAATCTGGTCTTTAATAATGTTGGCTTGACAATGAAATATCATCCTAAATGTCGTACCATGGTCTATATCAAAATGTTATGGTATCACAATCTGATCATTGGAGCTTTTCATTCAGTGTGGCTGTGTTTTGATTACCAAGTATGTTGGAATATCTTCCTGAAAAATCCACAGAACACACCCCAGGCCATGAATACACAACTGACGGGGAGGGTTGACTTCATAACACGAGCAAATATGCATTAGTTCTGTCTTAACCGGTGTCAGAGCTGCTGAGTCACGCAAAGGCTCTTTTAGAGCTTAGAAACAGCTCTGTTGTTTAAATACTGTGACTCAAGATACAGTAACATGGTGAACTAAGATGGGAACAACAAGGTAAGGATCCAAAGTACTAGAAATATGAACTTATACTCCCTCAGCTGTGTACATGTTGGAACTGTGCCAACAGACTGCACTAATGCTCCTTTACCAGCAGATGGCACCATGCCATTGACCTTCTCACACTTTAAGCTTCATTTAAGGTCGAAAATTGTGGATGAAAAAAGGTTGTCTATATACAGGCATTCAAATAACTAAAACCTCCCAGTTTCTGGTTAATGAACGGGTACATTACAGGGACAATTTCACAGTTCCTGGCCATTTTCTCCTAAACATTACAGCCCTTATTTATAAGCAAATAGAAGGCCTTCTGATGTGAAAAGCACTCTTTCAGAGACGCAGAGGACATGTTTTCACTCACCTTACTGGCCTTCAGAACATGTATCTGCTCCTCATTAACTGTATCTTTATTCTTCTCCAGAAAACCATCACACTGATATTCCACCTGACAGATACAGAGACAGTGGAGGTTATCATAGGAAAGAAAATCCATGAATGAGTCTCTAATAAGTTTCTGTTTTTTTTTTCCTTCACAAATGTATAATTACAAATTGAAAATGTCGACTTTTTGATGTCTATAATAAGGTTTCACAGCATTATTTTATTATAACTGTGATGCTATTAATTTTTTTGTATCATAGATATTTATTAGGGCTGTGCAAAGATTAATTTCGATTTATCGCGTCCAAAATAAAAGTTTGTGTTTACATAATATATATATATATATATATATATATATATATATATACATGTATAATGAAAAAAAAAAAAAAATATATATATATATATATATATATATATATATATATATATATTGGGTAACACTTTACAATAAGGTTTATTAGTTAACATTAGTTTATGTATTTACTAACATGCACTAACCATGAGCAATGCATTTGTTACTGCATTTGTTCATCTTTGTTAATGTTAGTTCATGAAAACACAGCTGTTCATTGTTTGTTCATGTTAGTTCACGGTGCATTAACTAATGTTAACAAGATTTTAATCAAGTATTAGTAAATGTTGAAAATAACATTAACAAAGATTAACAAATGCTGTATATGTGCTATTCATTATTAGTTCATATTAACTAATGTAGTTAACTAATGTTAACTAACGAACCTTATTGTAAAGTGTTACCTTATTTTGTAAACACACACACATGCATGTATATATTTAAGAAAATGTTATTTACAAATATATATTTATATTTATATAATATATATTTTGTATTTATATATATTTTGGACTTTTATTTTGGATGCGATTAATCGCAATTAATTTTTGCACAGCCCTAATATATATATATATATATATATATATATATACACATACAGTATTTACAGACAAATAATTCTTAATATACATGCATTTATATGTTTTTACAAATACAAAATAATTATACACACCACACATATATTAATATAAACACAAACTTTTATGTTGGATGCGTTAAATCGGAATTAATCTTTGCATAGCCCTAATATATATATATATATATATATATATATATATATATATATATATATATATATTAATTAGTTTTTATTTTTCTATAGAAGTTTACTCAACTATGACGACTTCCGCATGTGACCCGGAAATGTGAAAAAAGTAAATTCCTGATAGATAGACAACATCATGTCCCGCCCAACATTTTTTCTCATTTGTGAAGCCATTTCCCTTAGTTATATACCACAATATGGAAGAAAAGACCATATTAACTTTTATTTCATGCAAACTGTAATAAATACTATAAATAAATAACTTCATGATACCTGATTAAGCAATCTTAACCAATTGATTCCAAAAATATACTTGTAATTAGATTATATTATGTTTTAAAATACTAATAATCGGACAACAGTTTTGTTTCTTTTGATTACATGATTACATAATTTTCACAAAATAGCAGTAAATATTTCACAATATATTGATTCTCACTAATTCTTCTTTTTTATCTTTTAAATTGTTTTGTGGAATTACACAAGACAGAAGCTACACATCATAACAAATAATAGATTTAATATGTTTTGTATTTTATTTTGATTATTTTTGTGCTTTAGTTAATTAGTACTTTTTCATAAACTTACAATACAATCCCACGGCAGTTCCTTCAGAACTGCCAGTTTAGAAAACCCAGGCATAAGGTATTGTTTAATGCACTACAACACAAGTTTTTTTTTCCTTTGGAATTTAATATCACTACAGTACAACATTATCTGCTTAAAATCTACATGATAAGGTTTAAAGTAAGGTCAAACGTAATTTAAAAGTAATCAAAAAGTAGTCAGATTACATTACCTAAAATGTGTAATGTATTAGATTACACTACTAACTACAGTTTTCATTATGTAATTTGTAAGCAATCTACCCAGCACTGATTATAACTAAGAGGTCCATTAAACCCGGGTTTATACTGCACGATTTGCTTGTCGGACTGTACGAACATCATCCTCACTAGAAGCCATGTCACACCGTATGATCTCAGCTGTCATTAAAGTCACACTGTACGGCAGTCAAGACGCATGCAAGAAGACTCGTCCGGAGTTGTACATCAACAATCCGTGACATGTTAAGTGACGTGAGCTGCGTTTACATGAGGGATATAAATGGTGGCTAGCAAACAAAGACAATCTCTAGCGTTAATTTTAAAATGACTTCTTTTTGAATGAAAACTGGGGGGAAATAAATACGATGTGTGTGGGGATCAAGTGGTGGTTCATTGTTATTCCCAATAATTACATGATCAGGTTTTGTGCTCCGATTGGTTTTTGATTTGACAGTTGTCATAGAAGTCACTACTGTTGTCACGGTACCAAAATTTCAGTATTCGGTACCAATACCAGTAAAAATTCACGGTTCTCGGTACCAATTTCGGTACCAAAGCTTAGTTTAAATTTACATATATTTAAGTGTTTATCACGGTTAAAAGTATGGAAACTGTACATTTGCATTATAAACACTTTAGAAAAAGATTAGATAAAATGACCTAAAATAAACAATAGTATGCACTAACACATTTTTAAAGTTGTTTGTAAAGTTTTAATCCGTTAACATTTATTTAATGCACAATGAATGAAGTGAACAAACATGAACAACCAAGTGTTTGTATTAAATAACATTTACAAACATTAATTAATGTTGTAAAAATATATTGTTCACTCAATGTGTTGATGTGAACTAATGTTGATGAATGGTAGCTATCTTATTGTAGCGTTACCAAACTATACAGGAGATAAAACATGTTTTATTTGACTTGTCTGTACTTTTATTTAATCTAAAACTGCATTCATATTTAATTTTAAATAGGCTTTTTAAACCTGCTGAGTTATAAAGGCAAGAATACGCCTAGAACTGGCACTGACATAATAAATAGGGATGCGTCGATACTAATACCAGTACTCTGGTGTCGGGTGGATACTACTGTGCTCATGTACTCGTAAAACTACCCCGAAAGCACTTTAGAGGCCGTTCACATATCGCGCGTGTTTTTTATTATATTTTTGCGCGTGCTTATTCTTTCCAAAGCGCTTGCTCTCACGCGGCGTCTGTCGTTGCTATGCAACGAGTTTTTATTATGAGCGCGCTTGCCTCGCGCCTATATTTGAAATTGCGACTTTGCATGTAATCGGCCTCTTATGGCAACGTGACATTAGCCTAATCCAAACATTAGCAAACATCCAGACATTAGCCTAATCCAGCCTTTCCTCCTTTCGTGTCAACAAGTGGATTCAGAGAGAGAGAGCCATATCAGCGTTATGAAGAGGACGCGACTGTGCACCTTTCAGACAGCGCGTCTAGAACTGGATTAACCTGGTATTCGGTACCTAGAAAAGCTGGTACCGTAACATTTTTTTTTTTTTAGTACCGACTTGGTACCGAAGTACCGAGTTTTTTGACAACACTAGAAGTCACACTACAGGACTGTGTGTCAAATCTTCTAGTAAAATGTGATCGCAACAGTCATTAATCTGCAGTTGGTGAACATGTCAAACTAATGGTGTGTTCACACCGAACACGAATAGCGCGTCAGGCGCGAATGATTTCAATGTTAAGTCAATGCAAAGACGCGTTACGCGCGTAAAAAATTCCTGCGGCGCGAATGAGGCGTAGAGCGCGCGCGGAAGACGCAAATACACCTCGTTCGCGCGAATTGGGCGTCTGCCGCATTAAGCGCGTTACGCGCGAATGATTTAGTTAGTGCTATTTGTGCATTCACGCGTTTGACACGAATTCACGCGTTTGACGCGAATTCGAAAAATCTGAACTTTTGCGTCAATTTGCGCCACGTTAACCAATCAGGAGCCTAGCTACTTGCTCACGAGGTGAAGTATCTGAATGCTTCAATAAATTATTTTGTAATATGACTAAATGCATGGTGGGATTATGCACAACAAAGCAAATCTTTTATCACTTCAAACTTTATTTCTATATACGAGACATGTTCATATTGTATTGAATGTTATTCATTCCATATCAAGATTATATGAAATATTATTATGATGTAAAGACAACCAACATACATGTGCATAAGTTCGTGTCTGGACGCGAGAGAGAAAATAATCACAGGACAGGTTAATAACTTTTGAAGGCTGGCTCTATTTATCATCAAAACAAAAATAAATGACAGCTAGATTAGATGGATGAGGGCGAGGGTGATCCTCGCTCCGATGTGGGACAACAGGTCATCAAACTGGGCGCGTGACAGGTGGAAGTACCGCTGACAGCGGCCGTCATCCAGCGCAGCTCCTGGAGCGAGCAAATGGTGAAACTCGCCAAACGGTTCGCCTCCGAAGGGTCCGGTGGACACAAATATACGGCGACAATGATCCCCACGGCGCTGTTCTGGTCTCCAGAGTAAATACCAAGACAGCAAACTGACATTGAATCAATGTGGAAACGACGTCTCTCATGACATCGAAACAACGTTGATTTTGCTCATCGAATTAACGTTGAACCAACGTCAGACGCGGCATTCTTCAAAGCGAAATGAAAATCGAAAATTGGTTTGCTTTTATAATGTTGAAACAACGTTGATTTCAAGTTGATTTTCCGTTAGTTTTGAAAGAATGACTCGTCTGACGTTGGTTCAACGTTAATTCGATGAGCAAAACAATGTCAGATCAACGTTGTTTCGGTGTCATGTTTCCACGTTGATTCAATGTCAGTTTGCTATCTGGGTACTCTCTCGATGAATGCTCGATCGACATAAAAACAATGGCCGCCAACGGATTTCGATTCTGACGCGCGTCACACGTGTACATTTCCCTTCAAACTTTTGTTTTTACGCACGCCAGTTTCACTCTTGACGCAAATTAACACAAAGTGGTCAAGCGTCAAACTAGACGCGTCATGCGCGAATTTGATGCGCTATTCGCGTTCGGTGTGAACGCAGCATAATGATCAAAGACTTCTGATTTTGGCCTAGGATCTGAGGAATCTTTT